CTTTATTCGGAAAACTGATCATGGGAGAAGAACTGACCCTAGCAGCTTCGTATGCTTTGGCAGAAAAGCATGCACTATGGGACGAGGCTAAGCAGTCTAACAAAAACGAGTCGAAAAAGAAGCATATGGAACATTCCCGGACTAGAAAATACTCAGCGCCTGACACATTCACAAAGTTCACAATTCCAATCGGCCAAATTCTCTGCAAGCTCAAGAACAAACCTTGGTTATAAATGCCGCCACCCATGAAAGGCGATCTTACCAGGCTGGATCATACAAAATATTGCGCATTCCATCAAGGACGGGGCCACACTACCAACAGCTGCCTGAAGTAGAAGCAGTAACTTGAGAAGCTGACAAATGAGGGCCGATGCGACGAGTATCTTTACAGGTCAACAAAATGGCCTACACAAGCAGAGGAAGTCTCCATCAACCCCTGAACCTTGTTTGGTTTTTTTATTTCCCCAAATAAGTTCGAAGTCTCAAGTAGCTCGACGAACAAGGCTTCACAAGCTGAAGATTATTCATCTTGTTATGCAGTTTCTACCTTCCGACACAGTTGATTTATTTCTTTATTCTTAATGAAGATTCAAGAAGTTATTCATAAGCCTGGCTCAACTGCTGTCCACAACAACTGCTCAACACCCTTTATGGGTCTACTCTTCAGTGCAAAAGGATAAATTAATTGCTCTCTGGTGAGAGAGGGTAAACTAATTCCCCGACACCCGTATGGGTCTACTCTCCAGTGCGAGAAGATAAACTAATTGTTTTCCAGTGCGAAAGGGTAAACCAATTCCCCGACACCTGTATGGGTCTACTCTCCAGTGCGAAAGGATAAACTAATTGCTCTCCAATGTGAGAGGATAAACTAATTCCCCGACACCCATCTAGGTAAGCTCTCCAGTGCAAGAAGGTCATATAGCTTAAAAGATCGAATACTTAAAGATTAACTAGGTAGCAAATAGTCAGGGGGCAGCAACCATTTTTGCACTTAACAGTTCACTCATCTGACACTTCATCTTCAGCAACTCCGATCTAGGTAGCTTTATCCTTGACTGCTCCATCTACGACAGCTGAGAAATCAAACTCAAGCAGTTTCGTCATTTTTGGCAAGCAGCCCAAACCGTTGCCCATGCCACGGCACTTCCTCGGCCCATGCCGAGTAGCACAAGCAATGGCCCATGCCACACCACCTCCTTGGCCCATAACAAACCAACTCCTAGCCTCTGCCAACTGATGTGCCGCACCACCCCGACGGCTGCCCCGTGGCAGCATCTCCCAAGAAGAAGATAACGAGAATTAAGCTTTGCGGCATGAAGAAGACGAAGAAAGCAACGAAAGATGGTCCTTTGCACGGGTAAGTGTAGAAGATTGCTAGAGGAAGGGGAACAAATATCCTCTAAGCTTTCTCTCTCTTGTAGAGTAGAATAAATCGCTCTCCAAAGTTGATTTAACAACCCACTTAAGGTGGACTTAAATAGGCTTTGAGAGAAATTTATTTCCCTTTCCTAGAAGGATCTAATTTCATATTAAAAAGGGAATCTACATCAAAATAGGAAGCAGTCCTAAGTTTCCTAGAGCAAGAAGATCTCTACACCTGCTGCCTTTTCCTACGAGCAACCCAGCAAGTGATAGGAGCATATTCATGCGACTTAAATGGCTTGTTGTCGTACATTTACGTTATGTTTCTTTAGTTATTTTAGTCCTTTATGCTTCTTTTGTGTGTTTTCAAGATCATAAGACGTGTTTGACGAAAGGATGCATTGTGGAGTATTTTGGGGCCTTTTGGAGCACTATTGGGCTAAGGATGGATAGCTTATGCTTGGAGCCCAAGTGTTGGATGAAATTGAAGGCCTTGTATGCACCTTAGGACATAAAACAAAGGGCCTAACCTATGCATAAACCACCAAAATCAGCCATGCACACAAACCCAACCCATGCCGTGCCTTCCCTTGCCATTTTCAGCCATCACACTTCATCATTGCAGCCACCATTCACCCTAGTTGTCAATCACATACTTTCCCATTGTATAATTCATCCACATGCATCTTTAACCAACAAACAAATCAGCCACAACACACAAAAACAACTCATGCCGTGGCCACCCTTGCAATTCCAGCATTCCACCAAGTTTTCCTAGCTGTTTTGCACATGCATTTCCAACCCACATTCCCATTTTTAACCATTTAAAACACATGCATCTTCAAACATTTCCACCCACATGCACTTAATCATTCAACCACATTCACATATCACCCACACAATCTGCCATCATTCACACTAACACAAATCCACACTTTGCCGTGCATAACATTGACAATTCCAACATGCATTCATCATCATAACCTAGCTGTCAGTCCTTCCCTTGCCGTGCATTCTTCCCCCTTAATTCCAGCATTCCACATGCATTTCCAACCTAACATTCACCCACATGCATCCTTTAAACAAACCCAAACATGCAGCCACATATTCCCATTCTTGTCGTGGCTTTCCCATCACAATTCCAGCTTTCCAACCTAGCCACATCCACATGCATTCACTCATAATCATTCACTAACATTGCAGCCACATTTCCACCCACCTCCTAGCCGTCATGTTCCCTCTTATTTACCTATAAATAAGCATGCATTGCAGCCACAATTCATTCATTCCATTCACCACAACACAACACACAACACAAACACCATCCTTTGTGTCGTGCATCCCCTTCCATTTTCTATATTTCTTCTCCTTCATTGCAGCCACTCCAACCATTCCCCACTCCATTCCACATACACCTAAAGCCCTAAACATATCCTTAGACCTTGTGCCACAACGAAGAGGAAGAGAAGAGGGCCTAAACGTTCATACAATTCACGTTTGAGTTGTTGGAATGTTTAGGTGTTTCTTTGATTTCAATGTTTAATTTCAATTCTCTTTGTTTTGTACGTATGAGGAACTAAACCCCCCCTTGGCTAGGGGGGAATTCGAAATATATGTTTATGCTTGCATTTTGAGTTGATTACTTCTAATTACGTTTCATAAGTTGTGAATTCAATTTGTTTTTTTAGTTTGATTGATAACTTATTTATGTATGTTTATTGAGAGTGCACGCTTAATTTTCATGCATGAATATGACGCTAGAATATAAGTGAGTTTCACCTAATAGTTATGAACTTATATTCACAAGTAGTGGAGGTTGCTTATAAACAATCGCGTTAAACGAATTCTTGGCATAAGTTTCATGCGTATTCCATAGTAACGAATGCCTCGTCAACACTTATAATTTTCATAGAGCGTAATGATTCTTGCTTGTATCTCTATTATGCAATCATGTAGGGGACTTGTGGGGAATGTTTTGGGTTGTCGTATGCAATCATCCAATTCAATAACGTTAGGAAGATTTGAAGGTTAATTAGTGCATCACGGTTAACTTGGGGTGTTGAGAATTCATGGTTTATTGAAATGCAATTGGAAATCGTTTTATTATGCAAGTGTAACATGTGTGGAGATGAACCCCTTAGCTAGGTTCCCATCCATTAAATTCCATCACATTCATATTTACATTCTGCTTTAATTTAATCTCGTCAAATCAAAACCCCTCTTTACTTTCTTGGTCTTTAGTGCTTAGAATCTGTTTAGTTTATGTTTTAAAATGTTATGAATCAAGCCATAATCTTAAATTCGTCCAAAATTGGGTTTAAGGTCAGAAACTGCCTAGTTAGTGTTTTTAGGCAGTTTTGAGTCTTTTGAACTTGTTTTGAGTCTTTTGGTTTGTCTTAGTGTTTTAAAGTTTAGTTTTGCATTCTTTGAGTCTAGTATAGTGTTTTATATTGTGTTTTTACATTTTTGAGTCAAATCCAAGTGTTTAACAATCCCTCCTAATCCCCGATCCAGAACGATCCCTACTTACATACTTACTACAATTTGACAAAAAGAGGGTTTAATTTGTGTGTAAAATTCTCGCATCAGCAAGTGTGGGGGCATCTGTGGAGCCAAAAATAATCAAGAGGCGACACGTGGATTTTTAGGTGAAGAGGACAAAATTACCCTCGAGACACACCGGGTTTCCTACATGCGAGCAGTGGAGAATCATCCATCAAATGAGTCAAGAGTGCCCAAAATAGGTAATAAGTTCAAATTTATCTCATTCATCTTTGCTCTATATCCTCTATAAGGAAATCATTCCATAACCTTCAAAACCTTTCCTATAAATTAAATTTGTTAGGCTAATTAATGGATTAATTCTTAATGGATTACCAAATTAATCACCATTACACCCCAAAAAACATCCAAGGGCCGGCCAATCTCTTCCAAAGAGGGCCGGCCATACTCTATAAATAGGACTCCATTTTCTTTGAAAGGGGAAGTCCACACTCTTGTAAAACTCCAAAAATTCTCCAAACACTTTTTCTCTCTAAATTCTAACTTTGGCATTAGAGGTTCTTCGGCCAAAGCGCCCCCCTCATTCATCATGAGCGCGTGAGGCTCTTGGTCTTGACCTAAGGTGTTAATTGTTTTGTAGGTACAATTTTATCCAAGATCAAGAAGACGGAAATTTGCATCCACACAGCTAACTTCCCTTTCTCTCCTTTATTTGTCGCTCTCCCTCCCTAACATGACGGTTCATCTTTGACCGTCATTGCCATCAAGGAGATAGGGATTGAGGGTTGGGGTCGCCGGAGAAGGGAATGATTGAGGACTCACTAGTGGCATTCATATTCTCAACAAATGAATACCTAAGTATTGTCCTATTTACATTACCCATGTAATAATGGGCTAACCTTAGATAAGGGTTGGTAAATTGGGTACTCACCGTAGGCGTGAGTTTTTAACGTAAGTTGACTTTGGTGAATTATCGGGTTTTGTTACTATTTGGTTTCCTTGCAATTAGGTTAGGCTTTATTATTTATTCTTGCCATATTAGTTAAAGTTGTATTATATATCTTTGCCTCCTTTGCTAGAACGAATACACATTTGAAGAATTAAACCCAAATCGTTTATGAGAACGAATACACATTTCAGGAATTAAACCTAGGTTTAGCATTCACTAGTCACTAGTGGGTACCAAGTATTGTCCTATTACATTACCTGCTAGTAAATAATATATATCAAAATATATAATATTGGCTGGCATACATGATCCAGCATTAATGATTATGCATAGGGTCGGCAGGATTCTCCAGGGAGTTTGATGGGAGGAAGATCTAACATGGTCTGAAAGCCGGCCCTGGTGAAAACAACTGAGGGAGACGTGTCATGAGCATGAACAGCAGCAGTCGCAGTACTAGTACTGGTAGTAGCCTCTGCTGCTTCTGCTGATGAGAACCCCAGCACACTAGTACTGTAGTCCAAATAATCAAAAGGCAAGAGATCATTGTATTGATCATGAAGATGATGGTACGGGGGGTTTGGCTGGTACTGATGATCATGATTCTTTTCCAATTCCACCACAAAGTTCAAGTCATGCAAGTTGTTGCGAGTGCTATTATTATTGTTATGACTGTTATCCGGTGTTTGGAAACGGGAGAAGTAGTTGGCGAGCTCAGTCTTGCACTGTTTGGGAACAGTACTAGAACTACTGTTGCTGTTGCAATCTTGATCGAAGAGGGATTTGAAGAGGAGGGATCTGGAGAAAGAGGGTAATTGGTGGGTTTGGAAGGCATTTATTGCTGGGAAAGAGGAGAAGGTATCATGATTTTCTTGGTGAATTGGAGGAAGAGCTTGCAATTGTATTGGATTCTGATATTCATGGCATGATTCTTGCAATAATAATGCTGGAGATGGATCCAGCAATGGAGGCAGATAATTGCAATTTGAAATTGCTGAAGCAGCAGCTTCGTGATCAAGTAGTGGGCTTTTCTTCTTCCCGGATTTGTGATTTATTCTGCATATCACCCATTCCTCCTGCAAAAACACAAGCATTTATTATTATTTGAGGACTACAATATCACAATTTCATAAATAACTAATTTAGATGATTAGTTAAGAGATCATTTGAGAATCATTTGTTTTCATTTTACAATTTTGCTTTTTGGTTTTCATTCTTTGAGAAGTGGAATTGAACGTTGAATTTTGAAAACTCAATAAAATAGTTATGAAACAAGTTTTTAGTTTTCACAAAATAAAACCATCCTAAGCTAAGTAAATAATTTATTAAGGGTAAGAAATATGGCAGCGTTCAACTTTTTCGCACCAAGACAGATGTATAGCAGGTTAATTGTTTTTTTGAGTTAACTGGTAGTGTTAGTGGGTTAAAAATTAATTTTTTGAAAAAATAGAACTCGTGAGAATCGAATCGACACCGATGCACTTGAATACTTTTTTAACATTGCGATAAAGCGCGCGATCATATAGTAGGTTAATTGTTAAATCAATCAAATCGCATTCAACTGGTGATGAAAAGGTAAAGTCCACAGATAATAAAAAGCGACAATGGTTTACTGAAAATCCCGAGTAAGCAAATGTCAACCCCGGAAAGCGACAAATGAGAGGGTAAAATATGCAGTTGCAGCAGGTGAATCTATAAAACGCAAAGCTAAAATTCCAACCCCTCCCAACGCCCTAGAGTGTAGATTAGACAGGTAAATTGGATTCCCACGTACAAACACGGGGAAACTTAGGTCATAGGTGTGCATGTGCACGGGTGGAGGTAGGGGTTGTGGGTCCATACCTGGCAGTCGTGGCGATAGGACGAGAAGTGGCCGTCGAGACGGTACTCATGCATGACCCACTTAGTCTTGTGGCCCCTCGGAGCTCTGCCCTTGTAGAAGACAAGGGTCTTCTTCATGCCAAGTAGGGCTCCGGTCGACGCACTGAAGACCTGTCTGTCTTTGCCGGTGGCCTTCCAGTAGCCGGCTCCGGTCGCTCTGTTGGTTCTCATCCCCGTTGGGTACTTCCTGTCCCTCAGGCTGAAGAAGTACCACTCTCTCTCTCCCATCTTTGCCACGTCTGCATCCAACCCCATCATCAACAGTTAAATCACATGAAACAAAGAAAAGACTTGGATGAAATAAATTCATCGCCCCACTAATAATGTTTGCTATATGAACAGTGTGCATCTTTAAAACATCACCGAAACAATAAACTCGTTTCATACGATATTTTGCATGATACATAATTGTATGAATAGATAGCTGCTTAACATAGCCTAAGTAACTAAAGTAATGTTATTCATATTATGTTTTTGTACCACGTTTTCATATCATTTTAAATGGCATCTGATATGGACAACCACATCATTTGAAAAATTTGCAAAATTCAAGAAAATGAAGGAGAAATACTCCTCGTATACTATAATCACCATTTAATTAACTAATTTTTCTTAATTATTAGTTTATTAAATAATAAACTAAATTTAAAAAAAATCTGATTAATTCAAATAATGTAATTATTTACATCAAATGCTATATAAAATAATATAAAAATACGGTACAAAACAGGAATGAATGTCATTAATAAGCCAAACTAAAAACAGACGACACATTTATGAAGTGATTGAAATTTGTCAGATCCAGCATTAAATAATGAGGTGGATGACTGCTCTGCACTACTGGGTGTGCAATTGCAGGAGGAGATAGATTTTCTGGCCAGAGCCATAAATATTTTGCATATTCAACTGCCAAATATATATACATATACATATATTTACATTCAACTGAACAAGGAATGCATTAACCGTTGGTCTGAGATCTATATGAGATAAAATGATTGTTTGTCTTGCTTCAATCATAATAGAACATTTATTACTTGGATTTGCTAGATATCTAATTAATTTTTCTCAGTCAGTGCACTGATATTTTTATATTAATAAAAAAAAAATTTCAACAGCATCGCCAATCTAATTTGGTATTAAATTATTTGAACATAAGATGTTTCACTTTCAAATGAAAAAGAATATCATCAAATCATAGTACTGAGTAGTAGATATCTAATTAATTAATTACCACAAATCCCATCTACAGTTTTGAGTAATAACATAATTTACCAACTAATTAATTTAAGACAAACTAATGGAAAATAATTAACCCGAAGATAAATGCATAGGAAGAACTAGTCAAATTGATTAAAATAGCGTACTCAGTCCTCTACGCCCAAAATCGAATCGCAGCATAATTTAGATGAATTTTCTTCGTGGACTTTGTATACGAATGAACTAACTTAATTAGCTCATGCAGAAATTGCTAAAAAGAAAACAAACAAACATGCATTTAAATTTTCCCACCAATAAAATAGATATATAATATTATACATTTGACATCAGAAGAGAAATATTTAAGAATAGCGCTAGCTGAGGATATATACCTGGCAGCTCCCATGGTTCGCATCGGTTAAGGTCGACCTCAGCAATGCGGACGCCGCGGAAAGAGCCGTTGTAGACCTTGGAAGCCAGATAAAAGGTTATGAGCTCCTCGTCCGTCGGATGGAACCGGAACCCTGGTTGAAAACCTTGTCCGTTTTCATCCTCCCCACTCATCAGCTCACTCATAACTTCTTCCATTCCCATTCCCAACATTATATAATCTAAATATATTTTCCAAACCAAATATAATACTGATTAACTAAAGCAACAGACTGCTCTGGATGTTCTTAACTCTTTAATGTGATGAAGGTAAAGTGATCGTTGCAATGCATATATAAAGGAGAAGAGTCTGGGATTTGGATAGGAGGGGGCGGTGCACTAAAACCGAAAAATAATGCAAACATATAGCGAATGGATCATCAATGAAAACGACTCCTAATTGTAAAAGCAAGAGAGATTGTTGTGTGATCAGTGTAGATGATGAGTGTTGAGTGATGAGAGAGGAGGACTGGTAGGAGTAAATGCAAAAGCTGTTTGCAGAGATTCATGCGTGCGTGTGTGAGTATATCTTTCTTTAACAGCTATTTAGGCAGTAGGTACACTAGCTAGTCTACGGTCCCTGCCCTAGCCTGTATTAACATTCAACAGTGACGCCATACATATATCATCATTTGAACAGATAATATAAGATTAACTATATTAAGTAATGATTATTCTCTTTCTTTAAACAATGATTGATGTATAATTTTAATTAGGTGAAATAGTAAGTACTAGACTCTTTCGAAATAGGGACCTTTTATAAATTTTGTGTTATTTTATATTATTTGCATAATATTTTATAATTTTAGTAAATAATTGACATTAAATAATGAAATGATAGAGTTCATAGAGAATTTCACTTTAAGAGAATATTTCACTAATTTTATGTTATTTGCATAAACAAAATGCTAAGAATACTCTCTCAAAGTATGACTTTCTATAATGTCTCCGTTATCTCATATTTTTTTGTAAAATATTTTTTAAGATTTGCACGAAAGTTTGCTATTATCATATCCGTTTATCAAGTTAAAAAAATGAATCATCGTGGTTATCTATACCCACATTAATTTCTTTCACCCGGCTCGTTTGTGGATGATATCACTTGATTAACATAGCTCTATTTAATAAAAAAACAGGGTTACGTTTTTTATATATATATTTTTTTCAGATTCCGCAAAAAGATTACTACTCGATTCACGACTTCTATGAAAGCACTTTGATCTGATAATGAAAATGAATACATGAATCATGAGTTGAACAAGTATTTGGATCAACTATCAACGTTTCTTTGTTTGTGTATTTTTATTTCTATTGCTCTCCATATCCTTTCGTACCATGATCTCCTTTGTGAGGATGAACGCAGAGCTAAGACGCCGCATAAGCTAGTTAATTATATACTTTCGTACATTCGTCTTTGTTAAATTATCGATCAACAACCAACTAGAGTGTAACTTGGATTACATATATGATATATCATTACTTTAGGAAAACTTTATTCGAGCCTATATTTTGTATCTCTACACTCATTTTAAAATTTTAATGTCAATATTTGTTGAAGGTTTTAATGAAAAGGGCTTCACACAAAAAAGCTTTCACATAATGGACTTTTATTAATAATAACGATAGAAATAAGGGAGCAGTGACAGCATCTAAATAAGTAAAATTTGAGTTTGATAATAGTATAAAACAGTTGAAGCGTATTGTACTCCATAAATCTTTTAGTTATGAAAAAACAGTTGAGAACAAAAAAATCATGCTTTGAGCCTACAATGTAAATTGTTTATTGGTCTTTTTCCTCTTGGCCGGAAGTCTTGTATGTTTACTGTTTAGTAACTTATGGGATATAAATTTTTGAGAAACCTATTCTGCCAGCACCACAAAATGACAAATATGTGTAAGTTTTACTCCGAATATGTTTAAATAGTGGGTTTTTTTTTTTTTTTTTTTTTTTTTTTTTTTGAGAACAATAGTGGTGTGTGTTTGGTAACATGAGGACCTACAGTGGTAGTTCATCAGAATGTGGTCCTTTTCCTCTTTTCCTTTGGTTAACCTAATTAATTTGGGGGTTGTGGAGGGAGGGAGGGAGGTGGTGACAATATTCAATGGCGTCGGCGCTGCACCTGAAGCATGAAGCCTGTTTCGTTTGGGTTTGGGTGATTACGACAGTATAGTATAAACGTACATAATTGATTTGTGCTCCACACTTAAAAGATAACAACGCCCCCACATAGCTAGCTTACATAAGCCTACATGCATGACGTCATTCTTTAGCCAATCTTTGCTGCATGCAATTGTTATAATGTAATGACCTAGCTAATCGAATTGTTTGGGATGCCGATGTCAAATTAGTGTTGAAAGTTTAAATGAAAAATAAGCTAACTTCTTTTGTTCCGCGTCGATGAAGTGAAGTTTTTTCAACAAGAATTTATAAGCTTATGAGAATATGACTTAGTAAATTGGCTTACACGCTTGAAGAAGTTTAAGGTTTAGGCGTGGTTAAATATTAATAGTAAAAAAGATGGGCCTTCATTGATATTTTATCCTTGTTTTTTTATCAAATCAACCTTTCATATTTAAATTCAAATTTTAAATTGACTTTGGTTAGAGGGATTCATCCTTTTAACAGAAAGGGCACAACTGCCAGTGACACTTGTTTAGTCTGATCGGAAGGGTTCTTGATGTTTTTATATACGCAGCCTTCTTCCAAACATACACAACGAAACACCCCATTTTTTTATAACACTATTATTTTATTTTTTTTGAGAGAAAACACATGAAAGTTCGCCAAATTCCAGTTCCTGGTATTAGGAACTTGAATTAGATAAAGTATTCGTGGTGGACAGATTCAAATTCTGTATATAAATTGTTGAAGCGCAATTAGACGTAATTTGTTATATTGTTAATAAAATTGTTATAATTTCTTTTAGTTTGTAAGACTAACGTGATAATCACTACACCACAGCAACTTTGTAAAATTGTTATAATTTTGATTTTGACTGTTATTTTGAGTTTGTTAGTGCACTCTAACAATTGGCGTATTACCATATCACGCATCTTTTTCTTTTTTTTTATTTTTTATTTTGAATCGAGCGATAACGTTAGTAAGTTAAATGTTAGATTAGTTACCGATGGAGTTTGAACTCACGCCATCATACAATGACACAACACTTTTTCACTATTGTGGTAAAAGATCACTTGCAATATCATGCATCTATTTGCCACTCATACTTAACAGAAGTTAATGATAACTAACAAGTATCACAACGTGTGCACAAGCCTTGATATATATATAATCCACTACTTATTTTTTATCTCACTCAAATCTGAGCCTATAATTAATGTACAGGACATAGACATATCCATAATTCTAAACATAATTAAAACACACGTTGAAGGAAAAATTACCCAAAAATATTTTTCTTACCATCCAATCATTATTTGTACTATCTCTCAAGTAAAGATGAGACCTGCATGTGTAGTGGATCATACTCTATTAGATATGTTACAAATAATCGTACAAATAGATGGGACGAGTAGCATTATAATTCTGAAGCGGCAGCAGTTACTCTTCATCATATTCCTCATTCTCTTCTAGTGATTTGCAATTGGTTTCGGGTGTGAAAAAATACGTTACCATCATTCCCAAAATGCAAACTCCGCCCAAAATTACCAATGTGACCGTCATCTCTACCGGATGCTCCTCTGTTTTACCATGTGAGACTAACGCAAACCCTATAACTCCAACAATGGCCCCAACCTTCCCAGCAGCCCCTGATATCCCATGACAAGTCGATCTGAATCGTGCCGGAAAAAGTTCAGCAGGCACAATAAAAGTAGTGGTGTTTGGTCCAAAATTTGCGAAGAAGAAAGTGAGGCCGTAGAGGACCATGAAGCCTGCATCGACATGCTTTACCCAATAAAACTTGTAGGGTATCCCTAGCGCGAAATAAACCAATGCCATGGCAAGAAAACCTATCATTTGGATTTTGCGTCTTCCAATTCGATCGATGAAGTAGACAGTGAACCAGTAACCTGGAATTGTTGAGCACATTGCAACTATGGCTTGCAGCAGTGCAACAAATAGAGCATCTTGATAGGCGTTGACTTTGTATTTTTTCGGGAGGAATTTTCCATATACTTGAGATTGGAAAAGGTTGCTGCTGTAGAAGACAACATCGACAAGAAACCATGAAGCAGAACAAGCGAAGAGATCACGGCCGTGGAGACGTAAAAATTGCTTGGAGAGAAGGGGATAGGAGGGTGGATCTTGTGGCAATGACAATGATTCATCTTCTACAATTTGACTCATTGAGACATCCAACACTTTCTCCATGTCCTTTGCCGCTTGGAGGACATTTAGCTCAACCAGTGCTGTATATCTGATCATCAAACAAAGTAATAATAAGGGATTCAACCTTACATAGTTACAAGAAAACGGAGGCATGCATGCATGCATCCATGTCATCCCTTTTACACTTTCATATATATGGTGTTACCATCTCAATTCAATATTACATTTACATATCTAAATGAGTAATGCTATTCATACCATGTTTTTATACCACATTTCTATACCATCTTAGGTGACATCTGATGTGGATAACCATATCATTTGAAAAATTTGCAAAACTCAAGGAAAGGAAAGAGAAACACTCCTCGTATACCACAATCATCATTTAATTAACTAGTTTTTCTTAATTATTAGTTTATTAAATAATGAACTAAATTTAAAAATCTGATTAATTCAAATGATGTGGCTATTCACATCAAATGCATACATTTTTTTGAACTATTATGCCACCTATCATACATAAAAATAGTTCAAAAAAGTTTATTTTCCATACATTTATAACTTCATACTAGTATTAGTATATATGCTGATATATAATACCTATAACATAGATTAGTCGACACAATTAATTTGTGATGGAGAAAGAAAAAATAATTGAGATACAAATTTGGAGCAGGAAAAAATATTTAATCCTAAAATTAAGGCAAAATAAACCTATAAATAAGGAATGATATCGACCACAATGTAATTAAAAAAAATAATAATAACTGAGCTTGATAATCAGTGAAAAATAAACTCAATAATGGAAAAGGATCCGGCGATGATCCTTTTCTTAGGGATCTTAGAGATTTCGTAATCGTGATCGTTCATCGTACATCGTGCGATTATAAATTATTTTAAATTTTAAAATTTAAAATTAATATATAAATAGTACTTAATAAAAATTGACTGTACGATATATAATGAAAAGTCACGATCACGATTACGATCACCGATGCCTAGGATCTCAAGGATCCAGCGAGTAATGTCTAATCCCTATCCTGAGGCGCTTGCAGTTGCAACATTTCAAACCATTAATTTATTCAACAGAAGGAGGGGAACACTGATGAAGAGTCAACCTTACGCACGCTGATGCACGCAGGCCTAATCAATTTTCAGGAAATCAAATTTCCTAATCAAATTTCATACATTTCATTTGTCAAATTATCAATGTTAACCCTGCCGGTCTCTCTCACGCACACATATATATACAGCCAAGCGACCTGGGACGCACAGATATTGACGAAACCTAATGATAACCATATAAAACCGACCCCAAATGTCACACTAATTACTCGATTGATAGCAATAACAAATTAAGATAATTAGTAATTAAGGGAATTACCTGGCAGTTTCAGGCATCATCATACGCCAATAATACGTCATGGCAGCAGGAATGGCGCCCAGCATCAGTATCAGCCTCCATGCGACGTCAGCTTGGCTGGGAGTCTTCTCCTTCCCCTTCGCATTCGACGCTCCGTCGAAGATCCCGCACACCGTCATCGTCACGAGGGAACTAGCCAGAATCCCAAACCCTTGCATGGAAAACACGGCTGCTATGAACGAACCGCGTGTCCTCTTGTTGGCAAACTCCGACATGATGGTGGCGGAGAGCGGATAGTCCCCTCCGATCCCGATCCCCAGCATGAACCTAAAGAACCCAAGACTCACCAGAACGCAGCCCGGCGACGTGCACACGGAGAAGCCGCATCCTAGGGCGCTGAGCACCATCACCATCAGGGACAGCCCGTACACGCGGCGCCTTCCGATTCGGTCCCCTAGTCTTCCGAAGACGAGCTGTCCGATGACGGTTCCCAGGAGAGAGACGCACAAGAGCGCCGCAGCCACATCAGTGCGAACGAAGAAGTTATCGTCGTCGTTGTCGAAGGATTGGTCTCGGAAGATTCGGTCTTTCTGGTAGTAGACGCGGCCGAGGAGTCGCAAGATGGGAGGGATGCAGAAGAGGTCGTACGCGTCGGTGAAGAGGCCCATGCCGGCGACGATGATGGCCTTGAAGTGGTACCACTGCGTCTTCGCCGTGTCAAGAGCAGAAAGGACTTTTAACGCCATAACTTACTATTATTTGCCTCAATAGACTACCTGTATTAGTGTGCCTTCGTACTACGGACTGAGATTATATATAGGCTTTGATAGTTTAAGAGAAAAAAAAAAAAAAAAAAAACTAATGAAAAGCTATTTTTAAAGGTATAGTAAACAGTATTAGGGAAATGTATAAATATAATTTTTCGTTAAAAGTAAACAGTACCGAAAGTGTTTTGTTAAACCTTCCTACAAAAAATGTTGTTCTTACCATGCTTTTACTACATTTGTATTATATCTCTAATAAAATGAAGTCCAATATATCTTAAGTCCATTACAGAGATGATAAAGATGTAATATAAAAAATATGATAAATGTGGCATTAACACAATACTCGAGTGTCACCAATCAATACCCAAATATTACTGAACACTTACATGGACTAATAAAATTAAGATACGTGTAATTCTTGTAATTTCACGTAGGATAATACTTGGGTACTGACTAACTAGTAACAAAATACTCATGGACCAATAATATTGTAACATCTGTCTCTTGCTATGTGGATCACCAAGCCCCCATCTTCTTTCTTCTTGCAAGTCCTAGTCAATCCCTCTCTTCCTTCAACCTTTGCCTCTGTTGTTCCCACTCAGTCTCCTCCGTCGACCCAACCCCGCCCCCTCCATCGTTCCCACCCCGTCTCTACCATCGACTCCGGCCCCAATATGTCCCCTTATTTCTCGTGGCAGCCATGGCAGCGGCGGAGGAAGGTGGCAGCGAATTATGGAATGGTTCTATGGAAGGTTTTATTTTGATTGACATGGAAGAAGGTGAGGCTGATCAGGTTTGCAACGACACGGGTAAGAGAAAACCGAAAAGGGTGTTTGGTTGCGTGTACAAATTGGAATTGGTGTTTGGTTGTGAATACTAAATGGACAGGTGTTGCAATACTATTAGCCATTTAATAGGTCAGTATATTTTGGGGGATAATACTTGGGTACTCACTGAGGAGGACACTATTTACTGACCATCGTATGTGGCCTAATGATTCTGAAACACTAGTCATTTTAATTCTCTTCCCATATTTTGCTATCTTTGGAACCAAACACCTTTGTACCCGAAACCAAACACCTCTCTTCTTCTCCATCTTCTTTCCTTGCCATGACACATCGTTCTGCTCCATCCCAACCACCCGCCTCCAACTTCTTTCCTCCAATCGTCGACTCCATCTCCGCTCCCTTGTCCAACCGTCATCCCAACTCTTCCAACCGTCTACCATAGCGGCACACCTCTACTCTATCCATCTCTCCTCCGTTGATCTGAACCCCATCCACTTCTCCAAAGTCTCTGCAACATCAATCAGCAAGTGATTTCGACAAAAAAATTGGTCAACCTGTAACAGATTTTGATGACAAGGGATAAGAGACATGGGTGGTTGGGCAGACGGAGAACCTTTGGTGGATCTGCCATGGTCGCCGGAGAAATAAAGGGATTGGCTGGGCAAGAAAAGAAGATGGAGAATAAGAGAGGTGTTTGGTTACAGAGATAGCCAAATATTGAAAGAGAGTTGAAATGCCAGGTGTTTTAAAATTATCGGACCAGATAAAATCGTCAGAAAATTGGGTACTCTCTGTTGGACACAGATCCTTTTCGGATCTGATATTAGAGATCAATAGATCGGGATCATATAAATTTGATTCAACGGCTACAAATAGGGACATTCCTAAAAGTTATAATAATTGTAAATCAAATTTTAATGATGCGAATCTATTGATCTCTAGGCTCAGATCCGGAGAGAATTTGTTTCCCTCTCTGTTGAGTAATGAGTACCAAGTATTATCCTATTTTGGATACCGAATAGTGTGTACCTAAATATTGTCCTTTCATAAACCAGGATCCAAACATACTTGTGAAACCAAACAAACATGTTCTCCTCTACAACACACTCATTTTCCAATATTTTCGCCGGACAAGATTGGGGTTGGGGTCGCCAAAGAAGAGAGGGTTAGAGTTGACAGAGAATAGATGGACCGAGGAAGATGATGGGTGTTTGGTTACGAAGGTAGCAAGTGTTTGAGAAAGTTTAGCTACAACTGGTGGACTATTTTCTTTGGGCCAGTTCATGAGGTCAGTATATTGGTACTGGCTACAGTGAGTTCCCAATATTTTCTTCAAATGCTATTACTTATACAAAAGAGCATATAATATTAGTAATAGAATAATACTTGCATCTCTCTGCTGAGAATGCACATATCGTACCTTGCGAATAACATATATTTATTGTACAAATTGTATAATTTCGATGATTCAATTTCTTAACCTTCATTGAGGATTATTCTTATAAAATATCATTTAAATTTAAGATTATTTAGTCATTTAAATGTTTAGAAAAATTGGCTAGTTAATCATGAATATGTTATTTGGTAATTTGTTGTTTCTTATATTTAAATGCTTAAAAGATTTTCGATTCAAATTTTTTTGTAAAAATTATTAAATTTATACAATAAATATATGTTATTAGGAAATGGTACTGTGTCTGCATTCCTCGTAGAATCATACGAAATTAATTACAGACAAGGATCCTCTTCGGATCTTTTTTGTGGGGATTCAGGGATCAATTAATCGTATTTATTCATTGTACATCGTACGGCCAGTTTTCAGTAAGTAATATTAAAATAATTTCTAACTGCATAATATACGATGAATTGACATAATTAATTGATATTCCGAATTCCCACCAAAAAATCCAAGGATCCTATTCCATTAATTACTAGGTTGGCGGGTGGGGATTGTGGGGCTGGGGCGGCGCCCCGGGGGAAAGGAAGGAACGAGGTTATTTCGCGAAGTTGACATTTGATGTGATCAAAGGTCGACGGACTGCAAATGATGCCATTTTACTTAATGATTCCACGAATATACGGAATCATATGAATTTCAACTAATACTTAATTTTGTGACTTTTTTATTTTTTTATTCTGTTGTCATTTTCACACGGTTATGGCTACATCGTGTTTCTTGTACCGGCTACAGCATATAATTAAAAAGGATATAGTTTGTTTTACTCTTAAATCTTTTCCGAGGATAGATGTTGGACTTTTCGGGGAAATATTAGAAAAAAAATTCAATGCATCTCATCAATAAATAGTACCAAAAGACTGAGAACAGACGATACAAGTAGTTGAAAAAAAATTAAATTTAACGACTAAAACGTTCGTAATATTAACTGATACGTAGCATTAAAATCGCACTTAAAATACTAATACATTGAATGATTCAATTACAAATCCATATTGATGAGTGATGGCGATGTTGACTTGGGATTCAAGTTTCAACATTTTGTTTGCTCTACAGCTCTACAGCTGCTGCCAATTGCCAATTAGTGGCCAAGTTTTTGGTAGAATTGGTCAAGGAAAAAAGAAGGGGACAATCAAGAATTACATCAAGTTTCAACATTTTGTTTGCTCTGCAGCTCTACAGCTGCTGCCAATTGCCAATTAGTGGCCAAGTTTTTGGTAGAATTGGTCAAGGAAAAAAGAAAGAGACATTCAAGAATTACAAGTGCCAAACATACATTAAGATTTTAGAGCCCGCGTGCTAGACCCTTAGAACGTATAAATCTTTGATCATTAAACGCGTAACCGATGTGATTTGTTGCTTGTAGATGCCCATTGAACCAAATGGAAAGCTAATACTAAAATCAAAATAACGCACTAAATCGAAGTGGCATACTAAAAATTTCCCAAAGGAAAAGAAAATTACAGAACTGATCTCCATACTTTGCCCTAACTTCTGTCGATTGTCTAGACGACGTCACCACGTGTCAGCACTCATCTAGCATGAGTATCCCGCCAAATTCTACTCAGACGGCATCGGCACGCTTGATGTTGGAAGAGGATCACTTCGTTAAACTACAACCTAGTCCTACCAATACTTCTCTACACCATTTACGCAAGAGCTACCAAACTACGAACTTAGTAACAGGGCAAGTAAGAAAATTCTACCATTTCGTCGACCGCGGCTACATCAAGAATGTATGTAACTTGGCAACATATATCACTCGTCTTTTACGATAACTCCTTCAAAAATGCCATCAGATCCGAAGTGTGGTGCGAAAAGCCTTGGATCAACAGGTCCCGGGAGGCTGAAGGAGAGAGTGAATGGTCCAGCCGGGCATAATTGCTGCAACTTCATCTGAAATACACGCGAACGTTTCCTTATGGGATTTCCACCACTTGTGATGCCTTGGAGATGAACCTTCCCATTCGATTCAATCTCACAACTAAACTGACCTGTTGCCACAAATAATATCAACTTGTAATTTTGAACAAACATGAGCTCAAGATTTCTTGTCAAGAGAGCATAAATGCAAGAAAATCTTGAATCATGGAAATATATATATGGGATCCAAAGCCACTTTTACATCTCCTTTAAATCCCGGGAGATGTAACTTTTGATTTCGATCCAATGCATAGATGTAAATGAGGAGATGCAAATTTAATTTTCATGTGTAAATCAGTATCTTGTTTTTTAGCTCAGATACACTTCATGGGTTCAAACAAATTCCCGGCAGTCACTTAGCCTAGAATGTGGGGAGGGGATAATAAACCCTCCAAGAGGCTTTCTGGTGTTCAACTTATTAGAAGTACGAATTGTTAAGAAAATTCTGTCTAGAATATTCATACGGTGCTATATCTTGGAGCAATGGGAACATTAACTGCAGATTAACTCTGTTTTACTCAATGCACTGAGATACAATATCCTATTAAAGGTAGAGGAGGTGCCTTGAGAACTTAAAAAAAAAGGGGGGACACTGAACTATAAGCATTTTAATAGCATAAACCAGCACGAATAAATGAAAAGAAATAAGGAAAGGAGAACATACAAAAATCCTTCCTGACCCCTGGTAGAGCAACCCGGAAGTAATATGCAACCTTGCTAACACCAATGTCCACTAGACCAATTGGTGGTCCAACTACGCCTTTCCTGGCAGTCCCAGACAAAACAATAGAAGAATCAGAAGTAGGTTCTTCCATATTAGGAAGAGAGATAAGGGGCATCAGGGCAGGGCCATCTGGATTGCTCATCCATGAAGCTCCATCTTTGTTATAATGCTTTGATTCAGAAACAACTAGGGGAGATGCTGGCTTTGCTGGAGAATGAGAGACGCACCTCCTCTTATACTTTTTCAGAAACCTTTCTGATGAATTACCATTTCCATTAGACATATTTTCTGTCTTTGTTTCCTTGCCATCGTCATTCAAGCCATTAGACTTACTTTCTCCACCATCCAGGTACTCATGTTGATATCGTATAGTTTGACCTATATCAATTTTTAGGCCATCTATACCAGATAAAGATTTGAACTTTTCAAGAACATCTTCTTCCATAAATGATGTAACAGGATCATCAATCAAAACAATCCCCTTAACAACTCTGAAGCTCTCTGGGTACCATATCTGTTCATGAAGAGCCAAAGGAAAAAGATCTGTGAACTGGTGCCAACTTTCTTTTGTAACCCCTGAACTTGGTAAGGTTGGGCTGCCCTTAAAGTACTTATGCAACATATCTGGTCTCAAAATGAGACTAGGGTGAGCATTTCTCAGGATATAGTAATATAAACTCTCCAAAAAAGACACACTGACATATGATGGCCCCAAATCACTTGACATATATGGAGGCAAACTTTCCACTATCCTTTGAAATGCTGAGTATCTCAGGCTATCAATATTGACATCAGGACCCAAGTAATTTCCCATTATGAAGTTGACTAGAAAATGCTGGTCCGCAAATGACGGTTTCAATGAAGCTTTACGAGGATCGTCTTTTGGTTCTAAGTCCATGCTCCTAGCTTATTCTTCTAAATCTAAAATACCAAAATTATTGAGATCCATCTACAAAGGTAAATCCAACTAACTTCATTACATAAATAAATGATTCAAAAGAACATACTGAAATGAAATTTCTCTTCATAGTTTCAAGATAAGTAGATTCCACATGCATAGAATATCTATTTTCTTACTTCCATATGGTTTAAAACTGAAAAGCATAACTTTTAAACAGAATTTGCATTTGTATGGGTTTACAGTGTTAGACAATGTCGAGGTTGATACTCATACACCGATTACAGGTCAGATTCTTACATCAACTCATACCCCAAATGCAGCTTGGCTAAAAATAAATTCTTTCGTTTGAAAATTTAAAAATGGGATTCTGGGTATATAGAATCTAACTCAAAATTTAAAATTTCCTTTAAAATAAATAAATATGTCAACCGAAGATAGGGTTTTTTTTTTTATTATTTAAACTTTTTTTTTTTTTTTTAAATTTGTTTAGTTTCGAGTTAGCAAATGCATAACAATGAACTGAGAAAGCAGGAACATTTGAATAAAAAAGTAAAAATAAAATGGAAACCACTAACCAGAAAATGTAATCTACATTAAACCCTCAATCAAAAAGCAATTAAGAATCAGAAATTAAAGAATCAGAATTAACCTGGGGTTCGTAAATGAGCCGATTGAAGAAGATTAGAAGAAGAAGAAAGACCAGATAAGGGGTTACCAGAGAGAGGGCTGGAGCTGGGTTAGTTAGAAGTAAAAACTAACAGGAAGATAGAGAAGTGAAGCAGAAGACGTGATCGCTGCCGTCTGCTGAGGTTGAAGAAGAAGAAAATAAAGCAAATGTCAGAGGGCGGGGCGGTGGAGGGGATGGGCTGAGTCCATGTTTTGCAACAATTAAAGAACCCAGGTACTTTTTCTGGCCCAAAACAAAAACCAAGTATTATTGCACAAGGGAATCGGTTAAATCAGAAGAAAACTAAACTACGTTTAGACGAGGAAATTTAAGATTTTCAAGGAATTTTAAAGTTATGAATTTTTTTTTTCTGGAATTCGAAAATGTGGAATTTATTTTCTAAAATTTGAAAATTTTCTCTTTGGTTAACCTAAAAAAGAAAAAAAAAATTCAAATACGAAATTGAATGAGTAATAAGAGTCATTAATATAATGTGACAGATAATAGGATATGTACTAGCGGAGTTGACGGTGGTGATGGTGATGACAATGGTGGGTAGTGGTTGCGGCGACACAGTGATGATAATAGGTGGTGATGATAGCGGCGGCAATGACGATGGTGGGTGGTGTTGGCAACAGTAGTGATGATTGTGGGTGGAAGCGGCGGCAACAAGGGTGGGAGTGACATTGATAGTCACTCACGGCTAGGTTTTTGTTTTTATTTTATATTTTTTAAACTCTCATTTATAGAAATTAACAACAATTTATATGGAATTTAAACTTGAGAATTTGAGGTCCAAAATTTCAAGTTTTTTTTTTCACGTGGGAATTCTAAATTTCGATGCTTATAAATCCAAACAAGAAAATCAGTGCATGTTAATTATAAGTTCTAACTTTTGTTCAAATTCCAATATTATTTTCCTCATCCAAACAAAGGGTGTAAGCATGAAAACCCTGTAGCAAATCAAACAAGAACACATGTACAAAATAACTGTATCGTATTAATGAGTTTAAGGTTACAATTTCTGTTTACAAAGTTTTCTCTAATTCGACCTCCAAAGATGTGTAGATGTGTGTTGTTGATCCGAAGGTCGCGATGACTTGATCTCGGATGAACGAATGCCGCATGGATTTGGCTTGTGGCGATGGAAGAACCGGCACGGGTAGCAATGCTTGATGATTTTTCACGGGTTTGGCAAAGAACATGGAGGGTTTTTTGAGTCTTCTTAAGTGTTTGAGTGTTTGGGAGGTTTGTAACAGCCCGTTCTGAAAATTTTAAAAACGTACACGTGAAAAGATGATTTTGCCCCTAGTGTTATTTTTACGTTGTGTGTATGTTTTTGGGTTTTTGTTGGCATGTTTTGGGCCACACACACACTAACATACACCCCACACCCTTTCTCCCTATCCCTGCACCTCCCCCGTGCCTTTCCCTTTCCCATTTCTCATATCCTTTGTACGGACCACACCCAAAACCCATGAAATCTTCACAGATCGAAGAAACAAAGTACATATCCATGCTCGTGAGGTCCATTGGAGTCTAACCATACCCATTTCAAGTAAGGATACCTTCGTTTTCACGTCGAACTCGAGATACCCGATTTTGGGTACTGTTCATGCACACGTAATTTCTTATGTTTTTGGGAATTTCAAGCTTGTAGGGAGCTTGGTGAGGTCCTTAGGAGGCTCGGGGTGGTTCTTTTGAAGGTTTTGGACGTCGGGATCAAGAGTTTTGAGGTTGGCCGGAAATGGGGGTATTTTCCAGGCAAGATTTCGTGGATTTTAGCACTTGAAAGTGGTATGATCTTGTTCCTCTCGTTGTAAGCTTCATTTTGGTACCAATTTTGTGAAATTTGGTTGAAAAACGAAGAAGATATCACGATTTGAAAATTTCCCGATTTTCCAGCGCCGGCGACGGCGCCTGAGAAGACGACGGAATATTCCGTCAGTTTGGACGGAATATTCCTAACGCCGTTGACGGAATCCGTTAAAGATAACGGAAAATTCCTGACGGCGTTAACTGACGCCGTCAGCGTGCCAGGCACGTGCCTGCGCATGGGCGGCGCGTGGGGGGCGCGTGCGACGGTGAAAAATTATTTTAAAAATATGGGGATGATCCTGAGGTTGAGTAGATCACGTTGGTGTATTCATACACCTCATTTGAGCATTGTATGAGAAGTTATTTCTTAAGTTTGGTTATGTGCTTTAAAATTAACGTTTTTATAGTTGTTTCGCATATAGGTGAATCCTATCCCGAGGACGAGCGTGGTCACTCGCAGCAGGGGGGTTACGACCCTTCCACATACCAGTGAGTGGGCTTTTGGTTTTCCGTATATACCTATATACTTATATTTTTCCCAGAAAGTGATTCAAAGCGTTTATTCGTTATATGCCATATTTTATATTGCCATTTGTTATGCATGGTTAGTTGCATTTATATATGTGTATGTATTGGTGATGCGGACGCACAGGTAAGTGCCAAGTAAGTGTAATTCATGTTTACATTCAGTAGTGATGTGAGATGCATAGAGAGCTCATAACCTGCACCCCTGGTGTTAGTGCTCCCGCCCAGAGTTGGGCACAGTCCTTCACGTGATGTTCACCTCCCGCACCACACGCTCAGCTTGGATCCAAGTTAGGTGCACAGTCCTGTCGTACAAACCACTTTAGGTGGTTCCGACTCGTAGGTGACCCGCGACTATTCGCCCAGCTTTCACGTGATCGTAGCACTTAAGCGTATATATATATTACACCCAGGCATGTCGTACAGACCACTTTAGGTGGTTCCGACTCTTGTGCAAGTCTAGTTAGTGAGATTGAGATTTGAGCTCTAGATTCAACCGTACAGGTCACGTTAGGTGACTCCGGCTGACAGTTTATATGATATTGATGTGTGATTACCTGAGCACTTGCATTTTACTTTGAGGTTTTGGCATAGCATATTCTCGAGCATGACTTATATATATATATATATATATCTATTTTCTGGGAAGTATACAGGTTTTACGGCGAGGGGTTAGAACTTATTTATTAAATGGTTTTCGAAAAACTTTGTTTTTGCCCACTCATGCTTTTGTTTTGCCCCCCTCCAGATTCTAGTTGGCTAGCACGTTTGGTGGTTTCCCTGAGGATTTTCTCGGCATATCTGACAGACAATCACCAGCGTAGGACCACCTTCGGGTGTACTTTTGTTGCGTCATTTTCTCCTGGACTGCTTTAGGCTTTATACTCTGAACTTAGCGTCGCACTTACGCTTGCACTTGTTGTTGTTACTTTATGTAAAACTAGTTTTTATTTATTCGTATTACTATTTCCATTATTATTTTATTAGCTTCCGCACTGTGCACATGGTTACGTCACTTCCACGTGACGGCCAGCATGCCCTGATCTCGATCGGGGTGTGTCAAGGTTTGAGTGCTTGAGAACTTTAGAGTTTCAATGCTTCAGTGTCTGAGCGTGAATGATTTTTTGGACCATTTTTCTTTGTCTTGAAGCCCCTTATTTATAGACACTCTAAGCTTTTCATACGGATGGATTTGGCCTTGATCGTGGGCTTGATTAAACGACAAAAGAACCATGACTCAATTTGTGGGCCGGTTCATGATTTGACTCCATCAACTAATTTTTTATTTAATTAAATTAAAATCAAATAATTCCTTTTCGCAAAGTGTTGACACGTGTCCTTCTTGACGACTTGTCTGATTTTGATAAGTCACATCTATGTGTACAACTTGTGAGACACATGATACATGCCACTTAAGCCCTCGCCTGTCAAAATTTAATGTGTTGGTGAACATTTATTTTCACCGAAATTTGCATGTCTACAAAGGGTAAAAAGCAAAGTACACATGGGTGTGCATAAATTATTTCCTTGCACAAAATATAGTAAAACCTCTCTAAAGTAATACTCTTTATGGGAAAAACCTCCTTAAACTCATAAATTTTTTATGTGTTTCCAAACCACGTGAAGGTGATATATCACATTTCTACAGTTTATTAATAAAATATTAATTACACATGTTACCCTGACAAATTTCTCGTATTTGGGGTTTAGAATTGTAAATATGTTTTCTTAATTTGAAGTATACATAATTACCTCTAGTTTAAGAATTGAGGAACTTTGTTTAACACAAGCAGAAAAGATAATCGATTATGGCTTATGGCGTCCTTTCCATTAGGGTTGTAACGTGGGTAGGTTAGATGGTCAACGCAATCCTAACCTAACATTCATAATTCAAGTTTTGGTTAGTTCAAGTTCATCGGGTTTCTTCAGATTCGGGTTTCTTCTAGTTCGGGTTTCAACTGGGTTCGGGTTTGCCCATTTTTATAGGGTTCAATCTTGAAACACCTCATTTTATTAGATTTTTAAATTTGATCCAAACAACATCAATACTGTTCAATTTTACACATCATCCCACACAAAAGTTAACCAAATATTGTGAAGACCATTTATAATGTTTCAACCATACGAACTTAAAATAAAATTACAAGAGAATACCAAAGTTTCAACTTCAAGAATCGTAAAAGCAACATCATCATTCATTGTTCCAATAAAATGAAGCGAAATGGGTCACATGTGCATGAAGGAATTTGGGTTGGGTTTGGGTTGGCATGAGTAGACAACAAGTTGGGTTTGGGTTGGCATGAGTGGACAAGGCATCAACGCAACCCAATAAATGATTTGGTTGGGATTGTGTGAGTTTTTACTTCATTCAAACCTACCCAATCAAGTTTGAAATTCGGTTGGCATGGACTAATTCAGGGTGCTTCAATTATAGCTATCCAAAACTTAAACCAAACTTATATAAAAGAGAAAATTAGAATCCCCCACTCTTTTTTTACATAATTTTTATTAAACATTTGTTTCTTTTAAAATTTTGATTAAGACACATTAACTAGTGTCCACCTAATCATTTTTAAATTTATAGAAAACTAGATTTTAATCCCTAAATAAGATGAAGTTTAGAAAAATGTCTTATACAAGATTAAAAATTAATTTTAGTCCCTATACTCTATTTAATGCCAGCATATGTATTCGATGTTTCTTTTTTTAATTATAATTTTATGAATTTAAATTTTATGAAAATATTATAAATTTTAATTCTCATTATGGTAGGCATCTTATATAAGAAAATATTTTCGTAGAGATTTTTCGGTAACTTATGTTTTTGCATATTTTCTTATCTGCCACTAATTCATAAAAATATATTTAGGTATAAACATTTCGGTACACTAGTTTAGTATCATATAATTGGGTACGGAATTTTGGTACACTTAAGTTTTTACATATTTTCTTATCTGTCACTAATTCACTATAATATATTTAGGTACGGGCATTTCAGTACACTAATTTAGTAAAATATATTATGATATGGATGTTTAGGTACACTAATTGGAGAAAGTTAAATAAAATTGTATAATAATAAATTTAAAATTTAATGTGATAACATTAAATAAGTTATTTATTAAATATAAAAACTTTGACAAAAAATAATTCTATTAAATATAAAAACAAAATTATAATATGAATTTGAATTAAATACACATTAAGGGTCTAAAATCAATAATCAATCTAACACCAGGTTTTTTTATTTTTTATTTTTTATTTTTTATTTTTTTTTAATTTTAATCTTCTTGAAGGATTAAAATTCAAAAACCCCTTAAATTTATTCTATTTACATGTCATTAGTTTATTTTTTTTAAATAAAAATGTTGTATGTTGATTTCCCACTTTATCCTTTTAATTGATAAGGGGAATTTTTTTGGCTTGTCAGGATTTATACTTTTTTTTAGGGATATTATTAATGACTATTAACTAAATCACCAATATTGTCTATAAACTTTGAATTTTGAATTGTTTTTTGACGTCAAGGTTTATACTCCTTTTGTTGGCTCGTTCACATCATAAAATTATTATTGAAATATAAAAGTTGTTGATAAAAACGATGAGTTTGGAGGCTTTGGATTGACATTAGTGCTATTCGGCATGAGATATATAAATGTGAATTTTAAATTGAAATCAATTTGAAACGTATTCAGGTCAATTTGAAACATACCAATAACAACTTGAAACGTACCGATACTAAATTGAAACGTACACATATATAAATGTGAATTTTAAATTGAAATCAATTTGAAACGAATTCAGGTCAATTTGAAACATACCAATAACAATTTGAAACATACTGATACTAAATTGAAACGTATATATAAATGTGAAATTTAAATTGAAATCAATTTGAAATGTATTCAGGTCAAATTGAAACATACCAATAACAACTTGAAAGGTGCCTATGCTAAATTAAAACGTACCCATTTCACCTTGAAATGTTCAATGCTAAATTGAAACATACCGATGCTAAATTGAAACATACCCATTCTAACTTGAAACGTACCAATATATTGGTTTGAAACGTACCAAATTATCCTTTAAAATAAAATATACCACTAAATTCTATTTCCCAAATGTACCATGGTACATGAAAAAGATGGAAAGATGGGGTAAAAAGTGTGCTAAAACAAAAAACATACCTTTTGATATGGATACTCAGATCAAGAGGTGTGCATAAAATGAAATATGAAGAAAATGAATATGACCAACAAGGGAGAACGAAAGAGGGTTTGATCGGCCGGTCGAGGAAAGCAACGACATGAAAAAATTGCTAATGGTTGTAGAAGAAGATTGTAGAAGAAGATAGCACGTTAGTTACTTGTATGGTGTGGAGTTAGGAATAAAATGCACGTTAGAAGCATAATTAGATCAGGTTTGATGTGTTAAGATTTTTAAAACTAATCTACTACATTTTAGGAGATTTGGGATATTAACATGATAATTATTAATTAATTAAAGGTACATCATAATAGAAAATCGTGTAATATGGCATTAAAAAGATGTTACTTATAAAATAAGTGGCACCTTAACTGTAGGAAGAATGTTTAATCAAATTTTTAAAAGGAACAAATGTTTAATCAAATTTTTAAAAGGAACAAATGTTTAATCCAAAAAATTTAAAAAAGAAAACGCCTACATCAAAACTACCCGAATTGACCCACTCTAAATTGCACCCCTACTTTCTTTCCTTTGGCAATACAAGCGCGCATGTAATACTAATTAATCTGAAGGAAAAAAAAATGGGGTGAGACCTACGCGCTAGCCAACTGCGCCACCACCCCAGTTGTGTTAATAGTGTTTCGGATGTTAAATATTAGTTATGAATCTTTATTTATTTTTCTTTTCATTTAATTGCACAGGTATCTTTATTTATTCGTTTTTGTTAGGCTACCATTTGCCTACAAGTTTACAACCAACCGGCCCTAGTAATTTGGTTACTTAAGATGTTTAGGACATTATGTTGAGTTTTATTTCTATGTTGTTTGGTTAGACCTCCTTTCAAATGATTCTTTATGTGTGTGTCCTTTTACCCAAAATAGTAGATGGTGGATAATTGAATTTAGAATTTAAATGAAGTGAAAGTTCTAAAGTAATTAATTAAACTACAAGCTCCAGTTTAAGCGTGTTTCGTTTTAAGAAAAAAAAGGTTCACTAGATGAGGATGACACACAAGCACCAATTCAAATCTTCCCTTAAAACCGTAGCATCTAATATTGATGTGGTAAGCAAGCTAGGTGCATAGAAGAAGGAACCCAAAAATTCCAAACTTGCAGACTAGTATGTTTTCCATGCTTGAGGTTTTAATTTATTCTCTTTTCTCTTTTACCTTACTCCTTTTTCCTTTTCCCCACCTTGCAGTTCGCAACGAGGACAAGTATGAAGCATGCTTGGTCAATGCAACATTACATGGAGATCGAGGGATCACTTTGTCTTTATCAACTAAAGAGTATATAGCTAGCATAGGTAAACATGCATGTCACCACACATACATATAGTTTCTTTTTCATGTTATATTGAGGGCTCTCTTAGATAACCTTATCCGAGGGATATTTTATGGTATCAGCTGCTTCAATTTTTATTTCAATGATCTGAATAGTCGGTTTTGTAATTCATTGATCATTCATAGATAATTCTTGGGGAAAAAAAAAAAAAACTAGACGAATTCAAAATCATTTAGACATCAAATTGTAGTGAAAAAAAAGAAAGAAGACAATATTCAAAGAAAACACGAAAATGACAACCAGTTATCATATGGTTAAATAGATTTAAATTCAAGTGTGCTTTTTAAGATAATCTTTAAAAAAAGACTTAAAAATTAGACAATTCAGATTATTGAAATACTATGAAAGCTCTCCAAACATTGTATATGCATGCCGCAGGATTTCACTGGTTGATGATTTTCCCTTGAGACAATCCCCATTGTTCCTAGTTCCTAATCCCTAATTCCTATGTCCTATAAGCGAAAGAAAAGAATAAGGGAAAAAAGAAAGGTAAGTTGGACGGTCAAAGGCAATAATTCCCTAGAAGCTTGAGCTTCTTGTTCTGGGATGAGGATGGGGGTTAATTTTGAAAAAGCAAAGCAAACAAAGCAGATGATGGTTTTGTGGGGAGTACTAAAAACCAGCATCACTCACTTTATTACTGTTTCCCTGTCCCCCGGCCCTCGCCCTCCCCCTCCTCCGGGTATAAAATGCCCTGCGCTCTATCTCTATTGATATTTAGGTTCCCCATTCTTTCCTTCTATACCAATTGAAAATATTATATATTCTCAAGCATCATATACATACATCATCAGTTAATCATTTCCAGTCTGCAAAAGTATCTCTCTCGACAATGGAGGTAATTACATAACAACGTATTTTTATTGCTCGATACTCGGTTATTGATCTAATCATCTAAAAAATCTGTTCTTGCCCACCATTTGGTTAATTTTAAGGAAACCATAACCACACACATTTTTGCACCCCTTACGCACTACTGGTTAATCCTGTTCATTTTATTTTTTTTGTTGATTTATTCAATCACACTGTTAAAAATAAAGAGGTGTGTAGAACAAGAAACGACTTGTACGGTTATCATTTCACTTATAAGGTTATTCCCCTTCAAGTCTTGTTAATTTTACAGTAATTTGACTTTGCAGACAGTGGAATTGAAGGTGGAGATGGTTGGCATACATGAGAAGCGACTTAGAAAATGCCTTTCAAAATTGAGAGGTAGTCCATCAACCTTCATGCATTGCATTACTCATACATATAGTGATTACGTAGGTAGTTTATAGTACAATTAATATTTAATTGACTTATTAATTACTTGGTAATATTAGTGGTGAATGTGATTCATTTGATTGCATGGTGCAGGGATAGAAAAGGTGGAAGTAGACGCATACAGTCAGAAGGTGGTGGTAACAACAGCCGCAGGATATCTGCACAGAAACAAATTACTGAAAGCGATCAAGAGAGGAGGACTGAAAGCCGATTTCTGGTCTCCACAAAACGAGCTCCTCTCTGCTTACGCCAGCGCCAGTTATGGAAGCTTGATCAGATTCAACAACTTCAACTTCTAGAATTTACAACTTCCTTTTCTTTTTCTTTTTCTCTTTATTGCAAGTTAAGAAAAGGAGTGCCTATATATAAATATGGGTGATACATTTAAATAGATATAGATCGAGCGAGTGAGAAATTATATTTAGGTTAGTGCTATTTACACAAAAAATTTAGCTCTTACACGCTTTTGTTAATTTATATCATTTGATCTTATTTAATTTATTCGATTTAACAGTTGAAAATTAAAAAAATGTGCGTGGATAATATATCCTATCTTTATGCATTCAAAAATTAATTATAATACATAGCTTTTTTCTTCAACTCTTTTTCATTAACAGCGAGCACGATTATAAAAATACCCTGACGGTAAGCAAGTCGAAACAAAGAAAAAGTAATAAGCCACCACTTCTGGGCACGATAACAAATAGAGAGAACCAAAAGCATCATCCATCTGTATTAGCCGAGGAGTCCCAATATAAAAGGTAAGCTAGGAAGATTAAAATTTTAAATTAAATTTATAAATTAAATGATGTGTTATTAATAGAAAATAAGTATGTTAATCAATATTTAAGTAATAATCCAATCATCAACAACCACATCATTTAGTTTACAAAATTTAATTTAGAAATTAATTTAGTCTCACTAGCTTACCCCTACATAAAATGCACAACAAAGTTGAAAAAACAAACACAAGTAAGAATAAAAAACATCATCCAGAATCTTCCACTGCGAACAAAATTTAGGTGAGATGTAAAGGAAAAGTGAAATTAAGGAAAATAATATTAATAAAAGCAATTAATAAACATACCAAAGGAATATAGTGCTTTGTAGCAACAAAGCAAACTGCCAAATATAAGAATACATTACTCCGGTAATAAGTATTTGAGTGAACAAAAAAATGTTGAAAAATGAGTAATTCCAAGTTCCAACAACCTTTTAATTCAATTGAAATGATATGTTTTTGAACATTTTTCTGTTACAAATTATTGTATAGAGCATAATTAGCATCTTATAGTTATATATTGGTTGCCAATGTACTAGAAAGTCTCAGTGGCTTTCTTATTCCAGATCCACGATAAGACTTGTTATTGATAGGCTTTTGTTCTATAGCAGCACCTTTGAAAGGGATTTTTTTTTTCATTTGAAAGTTAAAAGGTCTAGGTAAGTAATTGGAATAGTCATAATTCAGTGTTACATTTAAAATTGAATTGTAATTTTGCGTCTCGTTTCATAAACTCTATTTTCCAATGTTATAGGTTAAATAATGGAAGAAAAATATCATGACTGTTCCCTACTTGATTTTCCATTCTTGCCGGGATGGGATGATCATATTGGTTCTGTAATTGAAAATGAGCTTGTTTTTGTGGTTAAAGAGGTAGTCACTACCCTACTCAGATGGATTGAGGAGCCACACAACGACATTTTGGATCCTAACTCGGGCCACATGTCTAAGATACTTAAGTTTTTTTTTATTAGGATGTTCTCATTGGTTGTTCGTATTTAGAGTCCCAAAACATCTTTGACTCTCCATGGAACACCAAAAATGTTTTAAAATTTTAAATACGAACAACCAATGAGGACATCCCTAATAAAAAATTTAAGCATCCTAAACATGTGGCCCGAGTTGGAATCCAAAATCCCATTGAAGTAGAGTAGTGACCTTTGTCGCCACAAATACGAGCTCATTCTTAGTTACGGAACCAATAACCTTTAAAAGGTTCTCATGGTGACATTTGCTACTATATGATCATCCCATCCCTGCAACTTGCAAGATGGAAAATCAAGTAGGGAACAATCACAGTCTTTTTCTTCGATTCTTTAACCTATAACATTAAAAAATACAGTTTATGAAACGAGACAAAAATTATAATTCAGTTTTAAACGTAACACTGGATTGTGACTATTCCAATTACTTACTTAGACCTTTTAACTTGCAAATGAAAAAGAAAAAAAAAATCCCTTTGAAATGTGTTGCTATAGAACAAAAGCCTATCAATAACAAGTCTTATCATGGATGTAACATCCCATATCGCCCAGGGGAGTGATCCTTAAATGTATATTCACATCTCTACCTAGCACGAGGCCTTTTGGGAGCTCACTAGTTTCGGGTTCCGTAGGAACTCTGAAGTTAAGCGAGAAGGGGGCTAGAGCAATCCCATGATGGGTGACCCAATGGGAAGTTGCTCGTGAGTTCCCAAAAACAAAACCATGAGGAAATAGTAAGCCCAAAGCGGACAATATCGTGCTACGGTGGTGGAGCGGGCCCGGGAAGTGATTCGCCCCGGGCCGGCATGTGACAGTTTGGTATCAGAGCCAATCCCTGGCCGGAAGTGTGCCGACGAGGACGTCGGGCCCCTAAGGGGGGTGGATTGTAACATCTCACATCGCCCAGGGGAGTGATCCTTAAATGTATATTCACATCTCTACCTAGCACGAGGCCTTTTGGGAACTCATTGGCTTCGGGTTCCGTAGGAACTCCGAAGTTAAGCGAGAAGGGGGCTAGAGCAATCCCATGATGGATGACCCATTGGGAAGTTGCTCGTGAGTTCCCAAAAACAAAACCGTGAGGGAATGGTAAGCCCAAAGCGGACAATATCGTGCTACGGTGGTGGAGCGGGCCCGGGAAGTGATCCGCCCGGGGTGGGATGTGACAATGGATCTGGAATAAGAATGCCACTGAGACTTCCTAGTACATTGGCAACCAATATATACCTATAAGATGCTAATTATGCTCCATACAATAATTTGTAACAGAAAAATGTTCAAGAACATATCATTTTGATTGAATTAAAAGATTGTTGGAACTTGGAATTACTCAGTTTCAACGTTTGTTTGTTCACGCAAACACTTATTACCGGAGTGATGTATTCTCATATATGATAGTTTGTTTTGTTGCTACAAAGCACTATAATAATTTGGTATGTTTATTAATTGCTTTTATTAATATTATTTTCCTTAATTCCACTTTTCCTTTACGTTTCTCTTAAATTTTTTTCGCAATGAAAGACTTTGGACGATGTTTTTGATTCTTAATTGTGTTTGTTTTTTTTTCCAACTTTGTTGTGCATTTTCATGGCATACACAAGTTTATAATAAAAAAAAGTTATTAGGAGAAGAATTTAAAGGTAACACCAATTTATTTGTCTTTTACCTTTTTTGTTTCTGATTTTAAGTCATTGTTATGTGAATGTGTTGCTATTTGCAGGTCACCAGACACCTAAATTTTGCAAGCAGGCAAGCTGATGCACATTATTTTTGAATATCCGGAGTACCAAGGGTGATGCGCGAGGGATTTGGGCGTAATTGTTGTCTTCTCGAGGTTTTGGGATCATCAGCTTGTTACTCGAGAGGACAACAATTAAGCCCAAATCCCTCACACATCACCCTCGGTACTCCGGATATTCAAAAATAATATGCATCAGCATGCCTGCTTGCAGATTTTAGGTGTTTGGTGACTACAATCAACAACACATTCACATAACAATCACTAAAGTTCAGAAACAAAAAAGGTAAACATAAATAAATTGATGTTACCTTTAAATTCTTGTGCTAATAACTTTTTTTACTATAAACTTATGTATGCCATGAAAATGCACAACAAAGTCGAAAAAACAAACACAAACACAAGTAAGAATAAAAAACATCATCGAGAATCTTCCAATGCGAAAAAAATTTACGAAACACGTAAAGGAGAAGTGAAATTAAGGAAAATAATATTAAAAGCAATTAATAAACATACCAAAGGATTATAGTGCTTTGTAGCAACAAAACAAACTGTCAAATATGAGAATACATACAAACAAATGTTGAAAATGAGTAATTCCAAGTTCCAACAACCTTTTAATTCAATTGAAATGATATGTTCTTAAACATTTTTCTGTTACAAATTATTGTATAGAGCATAATTAGCATCTTATAGGTATATATTGGTTGCCAATGTACTAGGAAGTCTCAGTGGCATTCTTATTACAGATCCATGATAAGACTTGTTATTGATAGGCTTTTGTTCCATAGCAGCATCTTTCAAAGGGATTTTTTTTCATTTGTAAGTTAAAAAGTTTAGGTAAGTAATTGGAATAGTCATAATCTAGTGTTACGTTTAAAATTAAATTGTAATTTTACATCTCGTTTCATAAACTGTATTTTCCAATGTTATAGGTTAAATAATCGAAGAAAAATACCGTGACTGTTCCTTACTTGATTTTCCATTCTTGATGGGATAGGATGATCATATAGTAGCAAATGTCACCATGAGAACCTTTTAAGATTATTGGTTCTGTAATTGACAATGAGCTTGTTTTTGTGGTTATAGAGGTAGTCACTACCCTACTTAGATGGATTGATAAGCCACACAACGACATTTTGGATCCTAACTCAAGTCACATGTTTAAGATACTTAATTTTTTGTTAGGATGTCCTCAATGGTTGTTCGTATGTAGAGTCCCAAAACATTTTTGACTCTCCATGGAACACCAAAAATGTTTTGAAACTTTAAATACGAATAACCAATGAGGACATTCCAAATAAAAAATTTAAGCATCTTAGACATGTGGCCCAAGTTGGAATCCAAAATATCTAAGATGCTTAAGTATTTAAAGTTTTAAAACATGTCTACTAAAAAATTTAACAATATTTTGGATTCCAACTCGGGCCTCATATCTAAGATGCTTAAATTTTTTATTAGACACGTTTTAAAACTTTAAATACTTAAGCATCTTAGACATGTGGCCTGAGTTAGGATCCAAAATGTCGTTGTGTGGCTCAACAATCCATCTGAGTAGGGTAGTGACTACCTCTATAACCACAAAAACAAGCTTATTGGAAATCTATCCTCAAAGATTCTAAATCAACAGTGACACGTGGTGCGACAACATTAGTTAAAAATCTTTTCTAAAATCTATCCTTAACGATTCTAAACTGGTAACGACATGTGGCTCGAAGGAATTGGATAAAAATCTTATCGAAATCTATCACAAAAAATTGTACTTTCAGATAAAGACATTTAGCATGACAAGATCGATTAAAAATCCTATCCTAAATTACAAAATAAAAATATTTTTTTTATTATTTTATAAAATAAAAAATACTAATATTTTAATATGAATTGATTGAGCTATTCAGTATAGGGATGAAAATGCAGTAGGTAATTACTGTTCATTAAAAGCAGTTATTATTCACTTAAGGGGATTGAAGTACCTACCGCTAATGAGAACTTTTACGCATTGTAACTGCTCTTAAAGAAAAAACATGGGGAATGCTTTCCCATAAATTGCTTTTCGCAAAACGAAACGGAGCCTAAGAGCTACATTCAACTATATTTCATTAGTTGACGCGATAAACACTATTTTAAAATTTGTTAAACTATTTATTTTCTTAATAAATTTTAAAATATAATTAAAATTAGCATTAGTTTTAGTTCATACAACTGTATAGGAAAATGACAGATTAAACAAAAATAAAAAATGAAAACTATTGAAAGTGTTACGGTTTTTGGGTAAATAATCAATGAAGAATTGAAAGCGTATCTACTAATGTGATACAGCTGCCCACATCAATTTCTTACTCTTTTACTCCTACGTCACAGAAATATTTGCTAAACAAAAATAATAACAATATCAAAGACCCAGAACAAAGCAGATTCCAAGTGCACCCCAGCACTAAAACAAAATAAAATATAAGATTCATAGGATATAAATAAAACCCAATTAAATTTATTTAAGAATTTAAGAATTTAGAATGGAAAAGGAAGGAAAGGTTACCCAAAGCATCCAATTGTTGCTTCTTGGAAAAACCAGGTGGTCTGCCTCTTGATTTCTTGGTGGAAGTGGAATTGGGTGGTGGTGAGGCAGAACCTCCTCCAAAAGGAAGGGCAGGAGCAGGAGGAGAAAATGCTCCACCACTGGGCTGGGTGACGGTCACAGGCGGGGCTCATGGTGATAGAGCCAATGACATTGTGCCATCTCGCCCATACTTCCTGGGCCTCCCTCTCTTCTTCTTCATAGGCTCAGTACCCATGTTCATGTTAAGCCCAGCAGCAGCAGCAGCAGCAGCAGTGGCCATAACTGCACCCTCTCCGGCGCCCCCTGCACAACAGCACCTCCGCCGGAAGCGGCGGCTGAGGACTGATAAGCAGGTGAGGTGGCAGCGGCGACAGGTTTGTAGAGAGCGGAGCCGCCGTCAGGACTGAAGTTCCACCGCATGCTCTGAATGGCGGACTCTGACTGAAGAGGACTTTTCTGCAGAAACGGCTCCCTACTGGTCATCACTCCCGTCTCAGATCCTGACATTTTTTCTTTTCTTCTTCTTATTTTATTTTATTTTATTTTTAAATTCGCAATTTTCGCTTGTACTAAAATTCCATCAAACCAAAATCCCTGAAAAAAAAAAGCAGATCAGTACAAAGAAATTTACCATTTCCTTATCACCGCAATTTACAAACCCTAATCTACATTCTACACACATAACGAATAAATAAATAAATAAAAGTTTTCTTTCAAACAGAAATTAGTATTATTCAATTTAGTATCTGAATTCTTCAAGAACCAGTAAAACAAAATGGAAAACCAAAGTAGAAGCAGAAGAAGAAGATGGTGGTAGATTCGAAGTAAGCTCATTCTGCCAAAAGTATCTAAACCCTAACCCTGACAGCAACTACCCGTCAATCTGGGAGTAAAAACCAAAAGCCCAACTTAATTTACACAACCAACAACAAACCCTAATAACTTCCAGAATTACAAGACCTGGAAAAAAAATTACATTTGCTTTTTTTTTTTTTTCAAATATCAGCACAGATCAAGCAAAATTCAGCATTTTACTTCCACCACAATTTGTTTTTTTAGAAAAATAAGATATATTTTTTGCCAATTTACAGTGAAAGAATCATTAAGAAAATTCAGTAAAAATTAAGGAAAATCGAAAACTAAGCCCAAAAAATACTTTCGACTTACCAATAATTCAGAAAAATTAGGGCGACACGCAAATAAGCCCTTTTTCTAAGAAATGCGAATATTTGGTTATATTTTAATTTGCATATTTTCTTAAGGAATTGTTATTGACATCCTAAAATTTTTATTCTATACTCCAAACTTTCTATATTTAGAAATAAAAATACACCTGTGAGGAGTATAGAATGAAAATTTGGAGTACCTAAAACTTCCCATTTTTTAAACTATGAAGAAGGATAGAGAGATAGATTTGAGAGATTTTGATTTTAGTATGTGATTTCTTAGGATGGATGATGGATTATATGGAGAAAAAAGAAAGAATTAAGTTATAGATAATGTCACGTGACACGCTGTGATTTGTTAAAAATATTATCGAAATCTATTCTCAAAGATTCTAAACAGACAATAACATCTGGCGCGGTGGGATTGGTTAAAAGTCTTATCAAAAATCTATGTTGAACAATTCTAAAAAGGTAATAACACACGGCTTGATGGAATTGGATAAAAATCTTTCGAAATCTATTTGAACTATATATACTTTCGGATAAAGACACATGACGTAACGAAATCTATTAAAAATCCTATCCAAAATTACAAAATAAAAATATTTTTTATTATTTTATAAAATAAAAAATACTAATATTTTAATATAAATTACATGAGCTATTCAGTGTAGGGTGAAGATGCAATAGACAATTATTATTCAATAAAGTTAGTTATTCACTTGAGGGGATTTAATTACATATTACTAATGGGATAAGGATCCCTGCCGAATCCTCTTTGTGGGGATCCCGAAGATCAAATAATCATGTCTGTTCATTATACATCGTGCGATCAAAAATTATTTCAAATTCAAAATTTAATATAAATAGTACCTAACGAAAACTGATTACGATGAATTGACATAATTACTTGATCCCATGATCCCCAAAAGAGGATTCGACGGAGATCTTGATCCTTGCTAATGAGAGCCTTTACGCATTGGAATTGCGCTTCAGAAAAAACATGGGGAATGCTTTCGCATATTCAGCTATATTTCATTAGTGAAAAACACTATTTTAAAATTTGTTAAACAATTTATTTTCTTAATAAATTTTAAAATATAATTAAAATTATCATTAGTTTTAGTTCATACCACTGTATAGGAAAATGACAGATTAAACAAAAATAAAAAATGAAAACTATTTGAAAGTGTTTTTGGGTAAATAATCAATGAAGAATTGAAAGCATACAGACTCGCCACATCAATTTCTTTTGTTGTGATCTGATTTCTCACTTTTATTGTGATCTGAGTTGGGAGTTGGGAGTTCTGATTCGATTAAACAATCTTACTCATTCACTCTTACAGAAGAGAGAGAGAGAGAGTGAGAGTGAGAGAGAAGATGCACCTGAGCGAGAACGAAGGCATAGAGGGCAACACTTTTGTGGTCAGCGGTGGGTTGGGCTTCGTAGGCTCCGCACTCTGCTTGGAGCTGCTCCGGAGAGGTGCTCACCAAGTCCGAGCCTTTGATCTCCGCACAGCTTCTCCTTGGTCCGATCGCCTCCGCCAGCACGGCGTCCACTGCGTCCAAGGTTTAGTCTTCCTCCCAATTCTAATTTCGTTTCTTTTTCCCTTCTCTTTTTTCTTAATCTAATAACCATTTCGTTTTCAGTTCCTGTTTTCACTTTTGGGTTTTATTGGAAGTTTTTATATTTATGAAAACGTATGAATTATGAATGTGTAGGGGATGTAACCCAGAAAAAGGATGTGGAAAAAGCTCTGCGGGGAGCAGACTGTGTGTTCCACCTTGCTTCGTATGGCATGTCAGGAAAAGAAATGCTGCAGTTCGGTCGTGTCGATGAGGTCAACATAAATGGAACCTGCCATATCTTGGACGCGTGTCTCGAGTTCGGGATTCAAAGGCTTGTTTATGTGAGCACATATAATGTTGTGTTTGGGGGACGGGAGATTGTCAATGGGAACGAGGCCTTGCGCTATTTCCCTATGGACAACCATGTCGATCCATATGGCCGGAGTAAATCAATTGCCGAGCAGTTGGTCTTAAAGTACAATGCTCGTCCTTTCAAGTAAGTAAGTATTTTCAATTGCAATCGTTCTTAATGTCTTATTCCAGTAAGTGTTCGATAGTGTTTGTTAGTAAGGACACTCTAGTGTACTTGGAATTTGTTTGTCTTAGGTTCAGTGTACGAGAAACGAGCAAGAGATGGTGTTGGTTACTTTATGGTCATTCTAGTGTGATGGGAATTTGTGTCTTAGGATATGTGTGTTAACGAAAGAGTGTTGTATTCGCGACACAACCTTTTCTGTGCGTGATGAATTTGTTTAACTTAGGATATGTGCGCGAAGGAGTGTTGTATTCGCTTCTCCCATAATTATTTTATCGTAGCTTGATTATATATTGAGGACTGGTTGTTTCAATCTCATATAGGAAGAAGACTGGGAAGTGTCTTTATACCTGTGCAGTTCGTCCAGCTGCTATCTATGGACCAGGTGAAGAAAGGCACTTTCCAAGGATAGTGTCTCTGGCAAAGTTAGGCCTGATTCTGTTCAAAATTGGCGAACCAAATGTGAAAACAGACTGGATTTATGTGGATAATCTAGTACTTGCGCTGATAATGGCAAGCATGGGACTTTTGGATGACATTCCTGGGAAAAATAAAGAAGGGCATCCCATAGCTGCTGGCCAGCCCTATTTTGTGTCTGACGGTAACAACGCAGCCCTTACATTATCTCTATTAATTTAGTTGCTTTTATTTCTCATCCTGTTAACTGGTTTGCCAATACGGATAAGTTTAAAAGTCTTAAGAGTCTAGATACATATTATTGTACTAAAATCTCTCTTTCTTAGACATTATGAGTAATATTATTATCTGAAATGTAAAAGGAAAAAACCAACCTTTCTTACAGGGTCTCCAGTCAACAGCTTTGAGTTCATCCGACCTTTGCTGAGAAGCTTGAAATATGACCTACCTAATGCTTCTTTGTCTGTACCTCGTGCGCTTCTTTTGGGAAGGGTTTTCTGGGCAGTCTATACTCTATTATATCCATGGTTGAATCGATGGTGGCTTCCGCAGCCTTTCATCCTTCCTGCTGAAGTTTACAAGGTTTGCTTATTCCTTCCTTTTCTAGTGTTTGGCTGAATAGATTTGGTTAATGCATATATCCATTCAAAATTCTACCCTCTCAATTTTCAACAATAAGGTCTGCAATGGAGAGGGTTAATATAATTTTGGTTTAAGTCGAAAAGACTGTCCATCTAGCACACATGACTTCCCTCGTCTTAATTATAATTTCTGATTCACCGGACCGTATTTACTTGTTCACTGTTTGAAGTGATACCGTGGTTACGTTCTTTTATCTCAAGGGCGTGGCAAGCTTCTATATCCTGATTATCAGTTTCTCTTGGCTATATTGGTTCATCCCGAGAGAAATCAAGCTCTAAGAAATAGCGTGACTCGAATCATATGAGAAAACCATCAATTGATTAAAGGGACACCTCACACTCAGATATTTTTGTTAGTTTGGACGTGGTATTATTGATTGAGACTGTACATCTATATCGTATGTAGACACGTGTTGTGAATCCAATTATTTTTATTCAGTCACTGCCAACATTTGCTGAATTCGTTATATTACAGGTTGGCGTTACACATTACTTCTCTTTCCTTAAGGCTAAGGAGGAACTTGGATATGTCCCAATGGTGACTCCTCGAGAGGGCATGGCTGCTACAATCTCGTACTGGCAAGAGAGGAAACGGAAAACTCTGGATGGCCCAACAATTTACACATGGCTATTTTGTGTGATCGGAATGGCCACGCTGTTTTGTGCTGCTTATTTGCCAGACATTGGGCCAGTGCCACTCTTCAGAGCTATTAGCCTCTTCGTCTTCCGGTCAATGCGAGTATTAAGGATTGCATTCCTTGTAGCTGCAGCACTACACATCGTAGAGGGTGTGTACGCGTGGCACCTGGCCAAAAGGGTGGACCCAGCTAACTCAAGAGGATGGTTTTGGCAGACATTTGCGCTTGGGTTTTTCTCCTTACGTTTTCTGTTGAAGAGAGCCCGGAAGGCAGGAGCTCCTTAATCAGCAGCATGCCTGCAGTGTAGTACAATTGTATGACGGTGGTTTTATGTATGTGTTGTGTAAAAGAACATGGCCTCCATGACTTGAGAGGTAGAAAAACAGCTATGTTTCCGAAGAAAGTTGAAGCAATACTATTCTCTTCGTTTCCAAGTTTCCGAAGCCGGAAACAAATGCAAATGACTCTTGTTTTTGGTTCCTTTAAGCATTCACATTTGTTTCTCGTGGTAGGAGAAAATAAAACTGAAGTTACTTAGGAGCAGGGATTGGATAGAAATTTCAACAATTTTAAGTTCATGACAAGGACATGCGCGGACGACTCTTAATCGTTGATTCAGGTGAAGCTCACAATATGGGCAATGATCATTTCTAATAACTTCACACGACGTGTAAATAAAATTAAAGCAAGAAAGGGATAGAGGGGAAAAAATAAAATTAAAGCATATTACATTAGAGAACAGGTCGAAGTTGAGCAGGATAATCCAAGGGTCAACAAAGATTACAACAAGCGAAACGCGTGATAAACTAGATCACTAACTCATCCTAATTAATCATTAATCTTAATAATTAAGTCCTACAATCACAAGACTTAATCTACTTTCTAATTCACACACACCTCTTGCTACCTGGTTGACACTTTTCAGCCGGCCATTTCTCCTCTATAAGGTCAAGCTGCAAAGTATTCTACATTCCTTATTCTACTAGTCATACAACACACGGCGCTGAAACTACAACGGGTTCCTGCCCTATAGACTCGAATAAAGTTAAGAAAAACAACATCCGCTGATCATGCCTACTGCACAAATTAGTGAAAAGGCCTGCCTCGAGTTTTACCAAACCGTTCACTTCCATGGCATGCTTGACATGCCTTGCGGGTTATTGTTATTGCAGGTTCCTGTGCTCTGGTTAAGCGGACTTCCAGGCCCGCCTGAAGATTCACTGAGAGTTCCACGTGACTGGGAGCTACTTGCCCCTGTTGGCCCACTGCCCGGATCAAACTTCGGTGCTACAGATGAAGGCTCCATTTGGTTTGCCGTCTTTGATTCTTTCCGACCATCTGCAGCAAAACTTCCGACTACCACCTGCAATGGATTGGGAATCCCCAAAATCACTGATTCTATTATGGAAAATAAAATATGGCTCGTACTATGTCTAGATTCAAAATTTATAAACCCACACGTCATGGAAAATCTTCCAACATGCTCCATTTCCTTCAACTATTAATTTTCACATAACAAGTACAAACTAAAAATAAAACATACCTGAACAGGGCAGGCAGCAGTCAGAAGACCTGCCACACCCCCACCTAAAACTCGGCCATCTGGGCCAGATAACGACACACTTAAGCCCCCAGTTCTACTCCGTTGACCACCAATTTCAGATAGAAGAAACGAGCCTGAGAGTGACAGAATTTCAAACCTCCCCTGCATATGAAAATTCATATGATAAAACGGAATTAGCAGGAGAGAACTCATAGGTAGAAATTATACAAACGATGAACCCAATCCCCATGGTAATTACCAAATGATTAACAGAAATTTAATGATAATTACTCATGGAAAAACAATAACTTTGGCGTTTAACTCAATTTTGTGACGAATTGTGACACATACTGAATCTTACATCTGACTGAAGAGCAAACAAGCTTTTAATTACATGCTCCTAGAGGGGAACCCAGATAGTAACTATTTCATTAATTTAAACCTTCGGTGTTCCAAAGTTCTCAAACCAAACTTAAATAATCATGTCAGAACATGGCGACATAAACTCATCAGTATAGGCGTAGTCATGTATCGTAACATAAACACAACTGTTCCGAGAGAGACTTGGAATATTAATCCACAGTAAATGCTCCCAGAGAACAGCTATTGAGGCCCAGCATACAACAAAACTGTATGAAAAAGTCAACGTATCATATGTAAAGGTTCAACTTGGATACAAGGAAGGGCCAACAGACAAGACAAAGCAATCTTACAAACCTCATATGTTACAGTTCCACCAGATGTGGCCGGTTGGCGAAGAGTCACATTAGAGATGGCTCCAGTTGCAGACAAGATGCAAACAGCTCTAGGACCATTCTGAGAGAATGACATTATTTTTGACCATACATCCTGAAAGGTTAAATGCATCAAAATTTAAATTCAATATAGTGTAATCAACTAGAAAAATGACGAGTATGCCATCCAAACAATAAAGCAGGTGCGCATGTAAAATTAGCGACATTCAATCATATTAGCTGCTAGCTCACTGATGATGAGCTCTTGAGGTGGGATCTGACCATGACATGGCAAATGATACCCTCAGGAGAACTTTGTGATTAAAGTTCTAAATTCCCAGAAAATTGTGAAGGAAAGCATAATACTCCGATGGCCCAATTACTCCCTAAATAGTAAATCTAGATGTTCAGTTCCTATGTTATGCAAATTTAAGAAACCGGAATTATTTGAATTTGGAACTAAATATTTGAATTAAATGTACCAAGCATTGCCAACCATTGGAACTAAATATCGTTAATTGCAACAGACGAAGCAGTCAGAACTTCAGTTGACAGAAAAAAGGAGCTTAACAAGATTCAGTGAGTGATAAATCACACATGCATTTACCGTATCGAAGGACATGCATAATCAGTCAAATAAAGAAGTTCATAATAAGAAAGAGATCAGCTACTCAGGATATAGAGAACATGGAAACTGTAAGGACAAGAACTAGTTTAAAGTCGCAGAGAGATATATTATGCAATCAAATAAAATTTCTAGCTCAAAAACTACTCAGACTAAGCATGGATGCATTGATGATCAACCAGGGAATACGAAAACAAAGTTATTAAAGAAAGAAAAGGGCAAGTAGAAACCTCCCCAGCTTTTACAGTGATAACATGTGGCGTAAATCCAAATCCCGGAGATCCTACAAACAGTAAAACAAAGTAAACCATAGTACAGTAATCATTATATAGTTATTTGCAGCGAAAAAGCAACATTAAAATTGGCCTTAGAAAGGGAAACATTAAAACAAGATCCATAGCCACTGGATGCATGCATCTATAAGTTATATAATGAACCAGTAAAACAAATTTTGTTTAGTTGACAATACAGCAATCCAGGGCAGATAAGTAAATTTGATATATAAGAATCTCAAGCATACCACCTTTGTTGTACCCCTTTCTATTTATTAAAGGCCATCCGCAAATATATCCCTTATTATTAAATCCATTCATTTGCTGTCAGAAACCCAAACGGGAACAACTTCCAGATTTCCATACAGATGATATTAAGTAAAAAATTACAAAAAAGTACATACAACTAAGTTTTTTCGTATCTGGATACATAAAACCAAGTCAAAGCCACTGTAAAGTTGGCTGAAACCCCAACCTACGTCACAGAAAATTTGCCAAACAAAAATAATAACAATATCAAAGACCCAGAACAAAGCAGATTCCAAACGCACCCCAGCACTAAAACAAAATAAAATATAAGATTCATAGGATATAAATAAAACCCAATTGAATTTAAAATTTTAAGAATTTAAGAATTTAGAATGGAAAAGGAAGGAAAGGATACCCAAAGCATCCAGTTGTTGCTTCTTGGAAGAACCAGGTGGTCTGCCTCTTGATTTCTTGGTGGAAGTGGAAGTGGGTGGTGGTGAGGCAGAACCTCCTCCAGGAGGGGCAGGGGCAGGAGGGAGAGGAGGAGGAGAAAATGCTCCACCACTGGGCTGGGTGACGGTCACAGGCGGGGCTGATGGTGATAGAGCCAATGCCATTGTGCCATCTGGCCCATACTTCCTGGGCCTCCCTCTCTTCTTCTTCATAGGCTCAGTACCCGTGTTCATGTTAAGCCCAGCAGCAGCAGCAGGGGCCATAACTGCAGCCTCTCCGGCGCCCCCCGGCACAACAGCACCTCCGCCGGAAGCGGCGGCTGAGGACTGATAAGCAGGTGAGGTGGCGGCGGCGACAGGTTTGTAGAGAGCGGAGCCGCCGTCAGGACTGAAGTTCAACCGCATGCTCTGAATGGCGGACTGTGACTGAAGAGTACTTTTCTGCAGAAACGGCTCCCTACTAGTCATCACTCCCGTCTCAGATCCTGACATTTTTTCTTTTTTCTTTTAATTTAATTTTTTTTATATATTCGCAATTTTCACTGGTACTAAAATTCCATCAAACCAAAACTCCTGAAACACAATTAAAAAAGAAAAAGAAAAAGCAGATCAGTACAAAGAAATTTACCATTTTCTTATCACCACAATTTACAAACCCTAATCTACATTATACACACTAAATGAATAAATAAATAAATAAAAACTTTTCTTTCAAACAGAAATTGTTATTCAATTTATCTGAATTTTTCAAGAACAGTAAAACAAAAATGAAAACCAAAGCAGAAGCAGAAGAAGAAGATGGTGTTAGATTCCAAGTAAGCTCATTCTGCCAAAAGTATCTAAACCCTAACCCTGACAGCAACTACCCACCAATCTGGGAGTAAAAACCAAAAGCCCAACTTAATTTACACAACCAACAACAAACCCTAATAACTTCCAGAATTACATGACCTGGAAAAAAAATTACATTTGCTTTTTTTTTCAAGTATCAGAACAGATCAAGCAAAATATTTTAACATTAAAGCTTAAACGAAACAAAATTCAGCATTTTACTTCCACCAACGAACAATTTGTTTTTTAGAAAAATAAGATATATTTTTTGCCAATTTACAGTGAAAGAATCATTAAGAAAATACAGTGAAAATAAAGGAAAATAAAAAAATAAGCCCAAAAAATACGTTCGACTTACCAATAATTCAGAAAAATTACGGCGACGCGCAAATTCTAGGGTTCCGGACCGAAAACACAGAGGGGCTCCGAAGCCCTTTTTCTAAGAAATGCGAGAAATCTGAATATTTGGTTATATTTTAATTCGGATATTTTTTATTTTCTTTTTATTTCGTGCCTTTTCCTCTACGGACTTTTATTAGAAATTAGTCACTTGCACACGCCAAAACGTGTGTCAATTGATCTTTTATTTTTATGTTAAATTATATATTTTTATTTTTAAATTAAAATATTTTTTCCTTATTTCAAATAATAGTAATAAAATAAAGATTATTTCCAACTTTTGAATTAATATTTAAAAATTCAATATATACTAAAACTGAAAAACAACTGAAATGCTGTTCATAAGCACAATGTTCGTTCAATTTTGCCCTCACATACTTAACCAAATTTCGATTTTGTCCCTCGGATTTCTTTTTTATTTTATTTTTCTTCCTTCTCCCCTCTTTCGCTTCCCTCTCGCTCGATCCTTTTTGCTTTTGGTCATTCTTTATCTCCTCCTTCGCCAAACCACAATGCCGTTTCTTCTCATCGTCGACGTCCCCCACCTCGGCGACCTCGCCATCACCCGACGAGCTTCCTTTCACCGTCTCGACAGCGCACCTCACCCAGCTCGATTCACTAACTCTGAGGAAGACTCTCAGAAATCCAAAAGAAAAAAATTAGCTTGGTTTTGATCTCTTAATTTGGGTTGTGTAGATTTGGTTTGATCTCTTAATTTGTGTTGTGCAAATTTTGTTTGAACTAATTTGGGTTGGGCAGCGGAAGCAAATAATTATTTGAATGAATTAATTTAGCTTGGTTCGTGCATATTTCGTTTGAATTAATGTGGATTATAGATATTTCGTTTGAACCGACTGTCACTAGATTTTGTTTGAAATTAATTTGGGTATTTTCAAAGGAACGAATGTTAGTTGGTGGCTGTCATGAGATCATGGATTTTTCTTTATTTATTTATTGGTAATATTTATACTTCCTAAGATTTGGATTTATGTTTGGTAGTTTTCTGATTCATGTTTGTATTTTGATTTTTGAATTGCAATTTGTAGGTATGTGAATCGTAAGTTTAGCATTTCAAGGCATATAGGATACGAACTTTATGTTGATAAATAGTTAGGTGGGATTAGAGGAGACAGTTGGTGAAGGAAATTGGGATTGAATTTGGTTCGCAGCGAATCAAGTCGTTTTTAGTGAAACCCTTTTCTTGGTTTGCTTATACTTTTCATTGGAAAGGTTTTTACTATTTTTATGTGTGAGTTCAATTGTTTAGATTTACCCAAATCATATATTGCAAGGCGGCTTCCTTATAGTTTGTGTTAGGCTAACTATTTGAACTGTCTACCAAATCTTTTGCATGTAAATAGTATGTACGTACACATCAATTATTATCTTTTGTATGAAAATAGTACTTTATACAAAAAATTTATATGATTTTTAATCTTGCAGCATCGCGTGGGTATCATTTGCCAGTTTTAATTTAAATACAATTTGCTGCTTCAATGGTGTTGGGTAAAACTTTTAGCCCTAAATTATTAAGGAATGAAATTTATGCTAAATTATGTCCATTAAAGTACTTTAAAAAAAAAAAATTAGGTAGGCCATCATAATTTAACTTTATGAATGTTTTAAAGTAATGTTTAATTTTAAAACATTTAGATTTCGATAAATAATGAAAAATTACTAAATTGATTTTTTTTAGTACGACGATATATTTTACACTCAGGGAATGGTGAGTTGATTAAGTCACACAATACGCAGCTTAATTTGACATCAAATTAGGTCATCTACAATATTTGAATCTAAGACCCCTTACTTACAAATTAAGAGTAATACCACTAGACATATGTATTGAGTGGCAAAGAGACTATTTTTAGAAACAAAGTGTTGCACTTCGCCGTTGATTAACTTTTGGACCGTTAGATTTTATTTTTTTTACCTTTAGATTTGATCACATTTGATATCACCCCTTGAATTCAATGTACTTATAAATTCAAAATTTAAAATTAAATACTTTTTAATCTGAGTTGTTAGAGCATCCAACGGTCCAAGAATCTATGACGTTCAATCAAAATAAAGCAATCAGGATTGCACATGGGTAGTGAAAACACCTTCATGCTGGGCCCCACTTCCCCTCAACGTTGTCCCCTTTTCCTTGCATTTGGCACGTTTTCTTGCTTTTAGCGCGTCAATCTTTTGCACTCTCTCTTTGTCTAAGTGCGTCTATGCACACATTGGGTCAGACTTTTATAACTAAGCATCTTTCTTGGGTTAAATTTGCCAAAAAATTAAAAAAAAAAATCAAATTTTAATCCAAAATTTATTTTTGGCCGAAAGTTGGAGCAACCTGGGGGGTTAACATCTAAATTTTAGGTTTGGTGAATTTGTTTGAAAATTATTATTTTAGACGTAACTAATTAATTTTTTTAAATTTTAAAGTTCTAATTAAGAAAAAGACAAAATTTAATATTTTGAATATTTTATTATTTTTGTCCTTTCCCTTAATATACAGAGAAGCAAGTAAAAGCCAAGGCCTAATTTGCAGTTTTGCATTCGTACAAAAATAAATAAATAATTTAATTTGCATTTACTCTCCAACGCCTTCATTGCCATCTGCTTTTTCTTTGGTTGACCATCCATCAATTCCTTTTGAAATTGAAATATTTGTTTACTGCCTACGTGGTCCTTCAAATCAAGCGAGTATCTTGCATTTCTTGCACTCCACTATCAACTCTCAACCTATTTGGATGTCTTCTTTTTTTCTTTTTTCTTTTTTTTTATTTGTTGGCAAATGTGACTTCATCAACAACCCAACATCTATACAAAATAGGAGGCTCAATTACAAGTCCAGGACAAAATAAAAATAAGACCTCCAAGCAAAACAAAGCCCAAACAGGAAACAAAAAATGAAAAACTAATGGAAACACCCTAGAAAACTTTCATTTAACCATAAGAACAAATAATTTTAAAAATGGCAAGGTTGCCCTTGAAAACCTTTTGACAGAAAAAGGCAAAACTATCCCAATCTCCAACATCCATTGAAAGGCACATGCTCTTCATCAAAGCAAATACAAATGACAAAGTTATGGGCTCCAGGAAACAAGCTGACACACCCCGATCGAGATCAGGACATGCTGACTTTCACGTGGAAGTGACGTAACTATGTGCACAGTGCGGAAGCTAATAAATAATAATAAAAGTACGAAAAAAAAAAAAACCAGCTATGCACAACGTAAGAACATACATGTGCAAGCGTAAGTGAAAAACAAATTCAGAGCACGGAAGACCTAATGCAGTCCGAGAGAAACAATACTACATAGACACACCCAAAGGTGGTCCTACACTGGTGATAATCTGTCAGATATGCAGGGGAAATCCTCTGGGGAGCCACCAAAATTGCTAGCCAACTAGAACCTGGAGGGGCGCAAAACAAAAAGCGTGAGTGGGCAAAAACAAAGCTTTCCAAAAACCATTTCATAAACAAAGTTCTAACCCCTTGCCATAAAACCTGTATACTTCCCAGAAATATAATATACATATATATAAATCATGCTCGGAAATATGCCATGTCAAATGCCTCTAAATAGAATGCAAGTGCTCAGGAAATGTCAAATCAATGCCATGTAATCTGTCAGCCAGAGTCACCTAACGTGACTTGTACGGCTGAATCTAGAGCTCAAATATCCATCTCACTAAATATACCTGCACACGAGTCGGAACCACCTAAAGTGTTTTGTACGATAGGACTGGGTGTAATATAAGTACGCTCAAGTGCTACGATCACGTGAAGGCTGGACGAATAATCGCGGGTCACCTACGAGTCGGAACCACCTAAAGTGGTCTATACGACAGGACTGTGCACCTAACTTGGATCCAAGATGAGCGTGTGGTGCGGGAGGTGAACTTCACGTGAAGGATTGTGACCAACTCTGGGTGGGAGCACTAACACCGGGGGTGCAGGTTATGAGCTCTCTATGCATCTCAAATCACTACTGAACATAAGCATAAACCATACTCACCTGGCACTTATCTGTGCGCCCACAACACCAACATACAGATATATATATATATATATATATATATGCTACTAATAATGGATAAACAAACGGCAAACATAATGCATGGCATATAAATGTATAAACGTTTCCATTCACTTTCTGGGAAAAACGTAAGTATATAGGTATATACGGAAAACCAAAAGCCCACTCACTGATATGTAGAAGGGTCGTAACCCCCTTACCTCGAGTGACCGCGCTCGTCCTCGGGATAGGTCTCACCTATATGCGTAACAACTATAAAAACGTTAATTTTAAAGTACATAACCAACATCACGAAATAACTTCTCATACAATACTCAAATGGGGTGTATGAATACACCAACGTGATCTACTTAACCTCAGGAACATCCCCATATTTTTAGAAAATTTTTCCAACGCCGCACGCGCCGGCCAAGGCACGGCCACACACGCCGCCCACGCGCAGGCACGTGCCTGGCACACTGACGGCGTCAGTTAATGCCGTCAGGAATATTCTGTTAAATCTAACTGATGCTGTTAACGCCGTTAGGAATATTCCGTCCAAACTGACGGAATATTCCGTCATCTTCTCCGGCCAAACTCCGTCGCCGTCGCTGGCGCTGGAAAACCGGGAAATTTTTAAAACCTTGTATCTTCGTTTTTCAACCAAATTTCACAAAATTGGTACCAAAATGAAGCTTACAACAAGAGGAACAAATCCATACCACTTTCAAGCACTAAAACCCACTGAATCTCGCCAGGAACACCACCAACTCTGGCCAAACTTGTAACTCACGATCCCGACGTCCAAAACCTTTAAACGAACCACCCTGAGCCTCCTAAGGACCTCACCAAGCTTCCTACAAGCTTGAAATTTCCAAAAACGCAAGAATTAACATGTGCATGAACAGTGACCAAATCGGGGGATCCCGAGTTCGACGTGAAAACGAAGGTATCCTTACTTGAAATGGGTATGGTTGAACTTCTAAGGACCTCACGAGCACGAATATGTAATTTATTTCCTCGATCTGTGAAGGGTTCAATGGTTTTGGGTGTCGTCCGTACAAAAAGAATAGGAAAAGGAGAGAAAGAGAGCTCGGGACAGG